TATGTATTTTTGTTCACATTGCAATTTGAAATAAAATTACGCATTTGCAGCTTTGGCCGACGGCCAGAGCTAAAAATGAAAAGGCAACCAAAGAAAAAAGGAAACAATTCGCTTTACCAATTTGCAGTGTTATTCAGCCTGTCATTCTGGTGTAGATGTTGTAGCTGCTGTAGTTGTTATTGCTGCTGCTGCTGGCCAACGCATTAATAAAACATAATTTCGCTTAAAAGTAATTTAAGCACTTTTATGTGTTTGCCAACGTCGTCGGTGCTGGTGTTGGCTGCTTTAGCGTTTGTTTTTCATTTCTATAATGGTCTGCACCTTTACGAGCCAGGTACGGGCAATAGTACAGGCCCGGGTCGCGCTCACTGGTCCGGCAACTGACTCACAAACACACACTCAAGCTAACGCACACACAAGCAAACACTTGCACACATAGACTGAAAATGCGTCCGCTTCGTGGCGCATGACTAACACTCGTTATGAGATTCATGGCCTACATGTGTTTGCTCCACGGCCTTGTAAATGGATACCGGGCGTGCTGTATGTGCCCTACGTGCTGGGCGCTTCGCTGGGCATGCCTGGGTAGTTGTAGCTGGTGGCTGTGTGCAGCCGCCAAAGCGTGCCCTTGAAGCCATTTTCTTATGTACTTACTTATAAACGGATCTTTTTTTCTGCCACCGGGTGCTGTTGTTGGGTAGGTTGTTGTCCCGGCCTGGGCTGCCGGATGTCCAGATAAAATGTTCAAAACGGGAAGCTTGCTACCCGCAGCGCCGAGGCACTTGCTTGTTTTAACCATTACATTGGCTACTTTTGTCGACCATGTACACAGCTCTAGTTGCTGGTCGTTAGTTGTCCGTTGTGTGTGCGTGACAGACATACGGACTGGCTATTTTCTTTGATATTTTTATTTTTAAAATCTGATTTCATTTTACAGTGATAAAAATATTAAATTGAAAAATAACGAAAGCGTCCACAGATAATAAGTAGTTACAAATTGTTTTACCCCACTTGAAAGTGCCAAATTTAACGACTAGAGCAAACGCAAACAATAATAAAATATGCACAATATAATTATTATCATCTCGTTAAAGCTAATTTAGCCACTTGCAAGGAAACTTTTAAGCTCCTTACAGACTTTCATTTCACATAGTGAGCAACTATCCGATAAGCGCTTATTTAAAATAACAATGGATAATTTTCTTAGATATATGGCCAAACTAGAGGCCACTTATCTGTGCAAAGGCAACCTTGGAACAGCAGCTTAAGTTTATTTAGGCCAGCTGAATAACTTACATACTCGTATATCCGCTGCGATTTGGTTCGCATAAAAACAATAGCTTAAATACTTATATATATACATATATACATATAAATATATATATTTATATATTTTTTTCTTCATGAATTTCGCACCCGACAGTTTTATTCAAGGACCGCACAGGCCACTTCGTTGCCAAAGACGACCATTTTTCTTGTGTCCTTTATTGCTGTAGTCGCTCCTGGCTCCCTATTTTTGCCTTCCCACTGTGTCCGCTACATATTTAAATTTCACGCGCGCATACACAGGCAAGGATAAACGGGATTTATACCCACTAATGCCTGTGATTTGTTCTATAAAATTACTTTATGCCGCCGAGACATTGCCTGCAGACCCTACTTTGTGTAGCTCCCACACAGCTCTTGCCCATAACCAAGCGTAAACCCCATTTCTGTTATACAGCAAAATACAAAAGTAAAGCCTAAATTTGCTAAACGAATATTTTGCCAACATGACGACTTATGCCTTCATCCTTTTCCTTGCTTAAACAAAGCTGCATAAAGTTTTTTCCTGTTCGTTTTGTGGCTCACCAGTGTGTGTGCGTATGGGTGTGCTGAGCTATATTTGTTGTATATTGAAAACATTTGCTTAGGCGCTGTGTGTGTTCCTTTTTCAACCCACAACAATCACATCGTATAGTTTTCATCAAGCTTTCACACACCGCATGAACAAGTCAATTAGAAATTATGCTTGTTCTAATTATGATTCACGTGAGTGAAGCACTAAACATTGCTTCCTACCACACGGACACTAAAAAGATACTGCGTCAATCAGATGACAGCAATCTACATGAATACTGTGGTAATAGCTACCAGTCAGTCAGTCCGGCAGTCAATCAGCCAGATGGCTGGAGTCTGTTGAACTTCTGTAGAATGTGCGGTTGTATTTCGTCTGCCAATCAACCGTAATGATTGAACATAATATTGATAACCAGCCGTTTGTGTGGTCTACTACGACATGGCTAACTGGCAGCTGGACAGACCAACAGACAGCTGACCACTCAAAGTTGAGGATTATAATTGCGTTCTGAGTTGTCACTGCAGCAGGCCTGTCGTGTCTTCATCGACAAACCCACAGAAAGAGCGGCAACCTGAACGACTGACCGATCAACCACAATTCTGGTGTGTTCTCTGCCATGTGAGTGCTCTTACTCAGAATCATAGTTTTTCATTATGGCTCTTGGGCCAAACACCGTGAGAGCTGTGACCACAGCTGCCAACGTGAGATATTGATTTAGCAATCAATTGAAAACATGAATATTATCGAAGAGAAAATGTTTTTTTCTGCTGTGCCGTTCGCATCTTCTACCCACACAAATCATTGTTTTTCATAATATATTTTTTTTTGTTTTTCTGCAATAATTTATTTATTGTATGCCAATTAGTGCTTAACCAGTCCACAGGCTATTACGGAAAGATTTGACGTTGGCTGATAGATTATATTGCTAACTGCTAACAGAACGATTTGTGAGTAAGTTTAACTTTGAAACAGCTTATGGACCCACTTGAGCTATTCTCTAGGGCGTCACAGCATCAAGCATTCTTAGCCTATCTAATTTTGAACCTAATCCGACACAAAATATGGGACTCCAATGGCTGTAACATTTTAGCTCTCATTTGGCTTATACAAAATTTGGCAGATTTTGTTCGCTTCGCATATTGTGTCGCTCCTTAAATTAATTTTCCGTTTGAAGATTTCAATTTCCACGGCATATCAAAAATGGTAATGTAGTTGTTCATGTCGAAGCATAGCCGAGCTTGCCAGCGGGCAACAGTTGCAGCAGGTTGTTGTTGTGGGCACAACACGCCCACTCCCGCCTTGATTAATGCTGATTGATTGATTATTTGCGTTTTGCTGACATGCTGCACGCTTTATTGTCGCTCGACTCGTGGAAAATCATCAATTTCCGCTTGTAGAACACGTACACCACGTACAGCAAAACGTTGGCGCTGTCGTTGTCAAAGTGAGCTCATTTTTTTCAGTTTTTTACTTCTTCTTGTACTCAGTGAGCAACAAGCAGGCAGCCTGCCGAAGCAGGGTAAGCGTGTCAGTGTAATGAATATTTTCTGTTGCTGGCAGGCTGCAAAACAATTATTGCGGCTGGTCAACATCTTGGCAGTGAACGTGTTGTAAAGTTTCCTTTCCTTGCCTTTCTGTATTTTTGTAAATTTCACATAAACAAGTATTGGACATTTGCCAGGCGGGTCATAAAAATTTGATGTTGAAAGCGGCGACGTTGATGCCAAGTATTCGACATTATAAAGGCAGACGTTAGCGAAAAGTCAGTCAATTCGGATTTCAGGTCGTGTCAGGACTGTCTGCTCTTTAGCCCAGCAGCTAGGTGTGAGCTACGCGGATCGATTGGAAGCTGCTGCTTGGCTGCCGAGTCTTGGCCAGCTGTATATGATTGAATTTTCGTGAATTACGGCTCGTTAGCGTCACGAACACGTACATATACAACCACCCATCCACACATGAACGCCCAGACGTCCCGCTGATGGCAATGTCACAAAACCAATGAAACCGTAGCATGTTCACAGTGTATTGCAACAAGTTGCCAACCAGAAAGGCAACAACGTTACCATATTTGACGTCCTGCCTGCGTGTCCGTCGCCTCGCCTCATGCACTTGACGTGCTTCATTTCATTTGGTTTTCTTGTTTTCCGCTTTTCCATATTTTTCGCGCGGCCTGACACGTTTTTTACTTACTCAGTCGTTGACATTTTGCGTGACTGACGACAGCCGCGTGGTGTGAATAAATGAAAATGAAATTGGCGCCACTTTGTAGGCCGACCCCCGCGAATAGGGCAATGTGTTTGCCATTTACCATTTGGTGTCTTAATTATGATTGGAATTGAACGCGCTGTTCGCTGCAACATAGCCAATTAATTTATCGATTTCTATCAGCCAATTTCCAAATTGTTGCCACTGCCCAGTCAGTGCCGGCTTACCACTGCGCTGCACACACCCATTTAATACTTCAGAGTGTCGCGTTTTCTATTCAAATTTTAATATTTTTTCTTATAAAATCAATATTTACTTAGTTAAGTAGATTAAATGGCATTATGTGTATTATGTAAAAATGTAAATGTAATTTACCAAGTCATTTTGGTTAGCATATTATCGGATGCATTTAAAAGTAATTGGCTGATTCATTAATTATGAATGAAAAAATATGAAGTATTTATTTTCAAAGTGCTTGCACTTTTTACATAAGAGTGCTTGAGCCGGTGTAGCCCAGGCAAGCTTCAGAAAAAAATGTCGATAAAGTTCATTCAGAGACGGGAGAAGGTGTTGACATTGCAGGCACCCCAGTAACAGAAGGCTTTTTGGTATGCGCGCGAAAAATATCTCATGTGCACTTTGGCAAACAAATTAAGATTTATTGAGCTGGTTGGAGGTTGTGTTCGTGGGCGCACCCCATTAACCGACAATTAAGGCGTCGGCTCTCGGTGTTGCTTTTATTCCTGTTGCTGTTGTTGTTTGAACCGTACTGGGCACACTCAAAATGGTCTGCGTATTTGGAAATGTTTTCTTCCTTTCGTTTGCACCTTTTAATGGCTTTTCAATTAAGCCTCAATTGAGCATTACTCGATGTGGTCATTCTTTGGTGCGGCATTGCTCAGACAGTTCATTTGCGTATATTATAATTGGAAATTTCTCTTCTGTGTTTTCCCAGATGGACAATCGGACGTGGATGTGCAATTAGTAGTGCCGAGGTATGTGGAGCGAGGATCAAGTGTCACATTCAAGTGCAAGCATAACGTAATACCGGAAATATTATTCAAGGTAAGTACTTACTCTAATAGTTTTTAAATAAGGTAGCATTTCTCTGATGAATGTGACTCCCACGTAGGAAACTTGAAATTGAAATCGTTCGCCTTGCGCTACATTGTGTAGAAAGTTTGTGGCTCTGACAAGAGCTAACCCAATCAGTGGCAGGTGCTGCACAAAGTGCATATTGCTTGTGCGGCCACAGACACAAATGTCAGTAAGTGCAGTAGTCGGAAAAACTTTCAATCAAAGAGCGGCTCATCAAGCCTTGCCCATTGCCCCCATCACGACCTTCTCACTTCCGTCTTAGTTTCAGTTACAGTTGCGACAATTAATTTCACTTCAACTCTCTTATTACTGTCACGAAACATCAAGGGACACGCACAGGCACACGCCATACGTCCCTAAAGGCAACGCCTTTGAATTTATGGCAAATGAGTTGCTTAGTTTTCTTGCTCAGAACTTTCTGCTACTACAAATCGTGGAATACAAATTCAAGGCCAAGCGTAAGCACCAGCTCCGACGGCGCTCGCGGCAGAGACTACTCACGATGTGAAGGTGGAGCTGGAGGTTGTGCTTGAGTTTGTCGTTTTATTCATTCTAAGTACCATAAAAGCGTACAAATTTTATGGCGCAAAAATGCCACGAAGTTGAGTGCTTTAGCACACAATATATTGATTTTCTCTCCTTTGCTTTCCATTCACTTTCTTTTTTGCGCAAAGCAGCCGCAGTTGCTTTGAATAGTTTTCAGCTATTAATTCAAACTTTTTCTTTAGTAAAAGAAAATAAGCATTTTAAATTAAAGTTTAGATTTCGCGAGGTCTTCCATATATTTTATTTTTTTAGTGAAGTAATAGATAGACTAAATAATAAAGGAGTCACAATCCATAAGAGTAAATTATTCGGCAACACAAACCGTTAACAGAACTTTACCTCTTCTTGTTGTCTATCATAAACTATTGTCAAAATATTTTCTTCAAACTATTTATAACGCTAGACCACGAAATTTAGCTAATAATTTAATCACACGATTTGTAAAACAGTCGATAATCGCTTTTTGTTTTACACCTGTCTTTAGATACTTAAATTTCGACAAATTACATTCCCTGAATTATAGATTTGCTGCTACCTAACTATGATTTCTTTCAAGCAATTATTCCTATATTCCTATTCCTTCTATAACATATCAAAACGTAATAAAAGCTGATTAAACAGAAAACGGTGAAATTACGGTTGAGTTAAAGACTATTTCACAAAAATAAATTTTTACATTTTTCAACTGCAAATTTTTATTATAAAGTTAATATAATTGATAAATTGAGCACATCAATTAGCTTTCAAATAGTTGGTAATTTAATAAATTACTTTGTATTGCATTTTATCATTATCTGTAAATGTTAATATATGTCGCACTGACGCTACTTTCATTATCGCCATCCTTGTGCCAATTGACATATTTATAATGCATATTTGCCTACACCTGCTTACCAGTATGAATGGGACGGTACATTTGTACAATTAGGAAAAGTTGCCGTGTTTACATGTAGACATTATTTTATTTGGTCAGTTGGCCGCTCTGTGAATACTGCTGCTTGGCAATGGCTAATTAGTATAATTGACTATATAACGGAGTTCGCCGGCTACACGGCTTCATGCCGCCAACTGATTTTGATTCGAATTGTTGCACGAAGCGTGGCAAATTGTGTGGAAGTGGCACTAAAAAGGCAATTAAAACGCAAATGCGAACACGGTTACCCATGGAATTGAAGTTGGCTCAGTGGCACGGCTTACACATGCTGAAGCATACTTTCGGGTGTACAAAAGCATCGCGAAAAAATATAAATTAAATAAACTAATTACGTTGTGAATGGCAGGCTGGCTGGCAGTCTGGCAGTCCAGCTGGCAGCCTGGCAGGCTGACTGACTGGCAAGCTTACTGGCAGGTCGTCAGTATGGGCCAACGGGCCCAGCTCAGACCAGACCACATAAATGAGCTTTTGATTTGCCGACTGAGTACAAAAATAAGCGGGCTAATGAACACACACAAAATATGTACAAAGTCAGACCATGGCACTGCGGACACGTCAAAACCAGCACATGCCAAACTCATGCCTGGCTAAACAACAACAATTCAAACAATACTGGGATAGTTGTCCCTGTGGATTTGGTATAGGGCCATCACATGCAGAACCATCGACAGACACTGTGGAATTCAGGAGCGCGGTTTTGATTACTTTGCGATACGCACTCCGGTTATTATTATGGCTGTGGCCGAAAAGTTCATGTCATATCAAGGGAGACTGTTTCAAAAATTTCCACAAGTGGCTGATAAAATTTGATGGGCATTCGGAGCAGTCGCTAGAACGTGGCTATGTGCGGCCGAATGGTTCAGTGGTTGCCTGATAATGTTTGCTTTGTCTCGAAAAAACAGGGCCCTATGCCAGGAGTATGTGAGCTTTATCGATTGCCATGACAAAGAACACATGCATGACGACATTTCCTGTCCAAATTATGCGTACGCCGCAGGCAAAGTTGCATGCAATCAATGCAATTAGTTGGGAAACATGTCAGTCAAACAAATTGTTGCGCTTCACATCAGAGCTTCGGGCGTTACATTTCATATAAGCATAACTGCTGAATGCGTCACTTAAATTTAGTTGTCGAATTATTGCACAAGTTTATTTATTATATGAAGTGCAATAAATAAATATTGCTCATATCGAAAAACTCGTTTTCCATATTTCCGAGCCCTAAAGGGTTGCCTCACGCTCTGTCGCTTGCACCATACTAAGAACTTTTGCTCAGTCGTAAGTTATGAATGCAAATTTATTTTTATTTACATTAAGCTTTTTATTTGCAATGCTGCTTTAAGCCCGTGCAAGTCCCTTATGCATTGGCATAACTTTTTCAGTTATATTCCAGCATTTATGTTGCTCTCACAGATCTCGTTTTTAATTACGCTTCCACCACGTCCCACAAGGACCACAGTAAACACGAGCATCACTGCGCAGCATACATACATGGCAACTCGTCCCCTTCGAGCTGGCTGCTAGTGACATTTGCTTGTGGCATTTCAATAAAGCATTCTATTATTTGCAGTTTTACAGCTTAACGCGCATTTTAATTGTCGCTGCAAAAAGTTTGTGCAACTTGTTGCAAAGTTAAATTGCATTCCATTTGTATTTTTATGCTTTCATTTAATTTTGCATTTATCATTTGTCCAATAGCGGTATATATGCCAGCTGGCATTAAATTACATACAATACACTGCGAGAGTCAAGGGCTGACACAGTGTCTCGCATTCAAATTGAGGCAGCTACTCAATCAATGTCACCATCAGCCTGGCAACAACATTACTGTTACGCATCAGTATTTTAATAATACCATATATATTTGTTTGATTGCAGGTGACATGGCTCAAGGTGGAGAAGGGCAAGTTTTTCGAGTTCATAAACGGCCGCAATCCGCCGTTCCGTAATTCAACTATTGAAGGAGCCGAAATTGATGTAAGTAATCATAAATTGACATGAGGTGGAAAAGAGGACATGTCGGGCCAAAATATAAATACTCTGGCATGTTTAATAAATAAGTACATAATGACTCTGTTTCCAATCGTAGTTTTGATTACACGACTTATTACTCGTACCACATACTAATTTACTGTGTATATACAATACATTAACAACTGCTGCGATTTCATAAATCAATTTAAAAGGCAAAATTCAGACCTATTTTTCTTTTCAATAAACCTTGATTTCTGTTCAATTCAATTTACATTAATTGAAGTTTGAGTATACAGCCTTGCCTTTAGGCAACTGAGCTTTTGTTATAAGTAAGTTACAGTATATGTAATAATATATTAGAGTAATTAGTTATTAACAAAAACACATACAAAATAAATTAAATAAACAGAGATTTAATTTTAATATAATATCCGCAAATTTTCATTTCATTTTTCATTTCATTTTTGAAAATCTACTTAAACCAAATTAAAATTATAAAATTACTAAGTTTGCACATTTATTATCCATTGCTAGTCATTTACCTATATCCGTCTCTAATAATCTTAGGTGTAATTATTATTCTGTCAAATACCATCCATCAATTATCCTTCAAGGCCAATAACAACGCAATTAAATAAATAATTGTTGATTAAGTTCCATTAAAAGTCATAATATAATTTGAAGCCCCTAATAGCAACTTGGAAAATTAAATTAATTTTCATGCGTTGATGTATAAATTAACATTGCATCAGATTAAGTACGATTGGCTAATAAGTCAATGCTTTTAAAATTTAAAAGAGTATATTAGTTTTACAATTAAATGACTTTTGTGGCGCAGTCATAATCAGTCACAAATTAAACAGACCGAATAAACAATATTAAATGCATAATATTCGTGTCACTATATTTTTATAGAATAAGAAATATTCTCTGTAAATATAATTCCATGACAAATATTATTTAGCAAGTAAGACAATAGTACTTTATATATACTTTATATATATAGCTGTATGTTCCAAGAGTACAGAGTAATGCATTTTTCTTCCTCTATTTTACAGTGGGAAAACTCGAACGAAACTCAAGTGACATTGAAAGATGTGCAGTTTGATCTGTCTGGCCAATTTTACTGTGAGGTCTCAACGGACACGCCCATCTTTACCAAAGCCAGCGCTGATGAGCTAATGAGCGTTTTCTGTGCGTAGCAAATGCCAAACCAATTTGAGTTAGCTGATACTAATTGCTGTCCCCATCTTGTAATGACTTTACAGTGCCGCAGACAGGACCACCCACCATCAAGTTCCGAAAACGTACACCCTTTGCCGTTGGCGAGAAACTGTTCGCCCTGTGCAACACGACTCGAGGGCGGCCCGCTCCGCATATTACATGGTTAATCAATGGCAAGAAGGTGCGTATACGTAAACCTAAGATTTATCTATAAAAATTCACAATAGTCGGCGAATCGTTCACAATCAAATTATTATGGAGAATGGAGCAATCTGACCACACCTATAGTGTGGCCAGAACTGCAGCCTGCGCTTAAGTGTAGATATGGAATGGCTGTCATGGGACGTCGGTATGTCAGTGGAGCTGCATTAAGATTAACATCATTTTAAGCCATTTTATAATTATGGCCTACATGCGCGGCTCATGGAGCTTTTATTTTAATTACCCAGACCAAGACCCAGAAACCCTGCTCCTGTGTGGGTCAGCCACAGCATGCACAACAGAGCCAGCAGCAGCAGCTGTTCCTCGCCGACAACAACAACAGTAGTTAAGGGAAAAGGAAATGAAATATAAATAAATTTATTATATCTGCCGTTGGCGCACAGAATATGGTAAACTCTAAAATGAAATTTATTCATAAACGCGCTGCCCAGCCACCATCTGACCGCGCTTTGTATTGCCGTGGCTTGCGAGAGGGCAGGGGCTGTTGTGATGAGGGTATGAGATATTTGGACGCTCGATCCATTTTTAATTTACAGTTGTATTCAAAAGTTTGACATTCAAATGACTTTCATTCGCACTTACATGTTGCGACCCAAAAATTTGATGTCGTTTCTAACCCAACCATCGCTCTATACTGACAGGTCGAGGAGAAATTCATTCGCACACATCATGTTCACTCGTTCAACGGCAAGCATCAGCGTCGCACACAGCAGCAGCCGACATCTCTGACTCAACAGCAGTTGCAGCAGTACTACCAGCAGCAATACTACAACCAATATCAACCTCAGTATCACGTGCCCCACTATATCGATCGCTACGACAAGAGCCTCCGCTGGGGCGGTTCTCGTCCAATTGGTAAGTAAAACACTTTTGCAGCCAAAGATTTCAATAATTTTATTGATTCGAGATAGAGATTGTGGATGCTTAATAGAGATTTATTAAAATACGGAATCTATTTAATTTATTTAATTCCGAAATAAATGTCTGAATTGCAGCAATGGAGAGACAAAATACTAATGTACACAGTCTAAATGTGTTAGTTTCTCCCACTGTAAAGGCACAGTTGTCGACAAATTTCTATTGCCTGGAAGACAATGTTTTATATTTATAATTTAGTATACAAAATGTTTGTAAATGTTAAATTGAACATATTTTCTTTGTCTGACTTGAACGACTGAATAGGCCTTTATCAAAGTTCTCAGCTTCTTCAACTTATATAAGTTGTTTTAGTTAGTTTAATTTATCGTCTAACTGAATAGGGTATTCTGTTCACACTTTGATAACTGCACACAGAATAAGCAATTAAGCAATTGTTTTGAGTTTGTCAGTGAGTGCGGCGCCAGCTGCAACGTTTACTTTAATTAGGACAATTTTGAATGCTTTGTTATTGCAGATGAATTCTCACAGTATGCGCCACATCACGGACACGACGGTCATGGACATCATGGCAGCCTTGGCAATATGCACAACAATCCGTTCGGTATGCTGGCCAATTATCATGACATCGGCGAGATACACGAGATACACCAACGCAACTATGATATAAGCAAGAAGCAGATGGAGCTGAAAAAGCAGCAGATGGAGTTGAAAAAACACAGGTTAGTCTACACCGGCCCCATTAATCAACCCAATCCTACCCTTGAGGATGCTTGGCATAAGCTGAATTTTATTTATGAGCTTTACAAATTAAAACGCAGCAACTTTTAGCCGTCAGCTAAGCAGACGAGCTGTTTCTAAAAGTATGCAATGTGCAAAGTTGGTCACCCTTCCACCTTTGCCACAACCGACCGTGTCAAAGACCCCGTCGCCCTTTGCTGGGTTGCCGAGACAGCTGCTCAGTGCCCAGCGCAAACTTTTCATATTCTTATCAATTTTCCCAGGTTGCGTGTGTGGCGTGTTTATTAAAGTTTTCTTATCTATGGACTAAAAGGATTTGGCTTATGCATGTGCCGCGATGTTGGCACATTGTTAAAAGCGCTTGCCGGGCTGCTTGGTGCTTAGCTCCGTTTGCCTTTTATTGTGGCGGGTATACAAAAAATCCAGAGCCCTAGCGTTACGCTGCCGTTTCGCCACCGTGTTGCTGCCTGGAAATGTTTATGTGGTGCGATTGGAAGTGAAACGTAAATGAATGCAATAAATTATTTACGCTCACCTGTGATATTAAAAATCAAGAAGGAAAACTTTTCCAATATACCAACTTTTTTAGCTCAACTTTCAAAGCCATGGGCATGCGTATGTGCTGAAGTGTGTGCACGGGAAGACGTGCATATGTGCGGGCCTATCTGTGTGTGTGAGTGTGTGTGTGGCGCTAGTTTAATGACAGGCAGCGCCACAATTCGTACCTGCTGCTGTTGCTCTTTGAAGTTGTGAGGTCGTGCGTCGCACTCGCATACTTACTACACATAAGCCACGTGGCGGGCATTTACGTCGGTTACCTGCAAAGTGGCCCTGACATAAAGAGCAGTGGTAAAGCAGTAAACCAGGCCACGACAGGTGTAAGACAATAACTCACAAGTAAAATGTTCTTGGACTCTAATGCTATACTAGCTAGCTATTGACAATTGTCAATTGAGACGGTCGAAACTTAAATCGAATATTTTTAAATTCAATTTTTCACAGAATATTTCATAGCCACCTTTGAAAAGCTTTTAGCGCAATTGGCTGGCAATTGTTGCCTTCAGCTGCGATTTATCATTTCCCAAATGTGTGTGCTTGGCGCTTGTGCATGTATGTGTTACGACTTGGAGAAACTACTTGGTTAATTTATCCGCAAGTGGAAACCATGATTAGCTATGGCGCCATTTCCTTGCCTGCTAATTGCGTTGGCAACGAGCAAAAGCAAAAACACTTTATAAATAATTTGCCGCAGCTCAAAATGAAACGCGTACGTGAGTCAATGTATGTGGGAAGAACTAATTTTGCTGAAAACTTAATGTTAATAAGCAATAATTTATATCCAAAGTGCACGAGAACGTTCCCGGAAGAGCATAAGCCAGGTGGCACGGGTGCGAGTTAACTCCGATGTGCCTGACCTGCAGCTTTTAAGGCCTTGAAACTACTCAGTGGATACAGGGTGCTGCATAAGAGACTGAAAAGAAAATAACTAAAAAAGTACATTTAAAACTCAATTTATTTCGTATATAGATTTGTCTATATAAATTTTCTTAATCTAAATTCTTTTCACATACTCACGAGATACATGTGAAATACAGTTTAAATTTGATCAATCTTGCGCATGATTATATGTACATTGTGAAGCACCCTGTATTGGTTTTATTCATGACTTCTGTTACAGGCTGCGCACTATTTACGTATATGTGTACAACTGTGGGCGTAATTGCAGACGCGCCCACTATTAAAACTTGGCGAATATTTATGCAGCACTCCAGCACGAAGTAAAAAAACTATAAAAAATGCGCAAGCAACAACTAGCAACAGCAGCAACAGAAGGTAGCAAGTAACGGTCACGTTTTTGTTTACAGTAGTGTGCATAAATTTCTCTCTGTGCATATACATGTGGGCGTGACGTACACTGGAATGTTTATTAAGTTCATGCTTAATATACTGAGCAACTCACATGCCTGACTGTGTAAGTGCGTGTGTTGTGTGTGTTACTATGCATGTGATTTTATGCAAATAGAATGCCAATGTTTGCTATAAAGTCCCGAACTGCGACCTTGCAGCATTTATGAACTGCATTACGTATGCGCCATGTGCGCCGTTGGCCATGCTACGTAATTAACCGCTAAATTTGATTAAGTGATTGCCACAATCAAGTTTAAGAGCAACAGAAATTAACTGGTCTTTGTGTTGCATCGCCCTATTAAACAGCTTTGTGAATGCCTGCCATTTGATTCAAATTTTGCTCAGCTGCTTGAGCTGCAATGCGTTTAAAGAGTACAGAAGAATGTAAAGAATTGTAACTATAAAAACACAAAAATAACAAGAGCAGCAACAGCTATAAAAGGCATAACACGTAGTGCTGAATGTACACTTGTGCGACGAGCCAGGACAGGGGAGTGCGGGGGCGGGGCGGGGTTGGTGTTTTTGCGTCGGTAGCTAGAAAGGGTGTCCGTGTATAGGAAACACAGCCAGGCAAAGGCATATGAATGCGGCATTTTATGCAGTCAAAAAGTAGTTTACACGTTGTTGCACAATTTATGTTTGTGCAACACGTAAGACCATTGTGCCAGACACAAGCCTCTAGAGATAAATGTAGACGTGCATATGCACGTTTGGCGTTTCGTGCGTGCTGCTGCTGAACACCTTCAATCTTCTCGTGTACGGTCTCAATAATCCGAGTTGTGTAACCCTCAAAAAATAAAACCTACAAGTTCTAAATTCACAAATTTATTTGACAATATTTGTTTAAATCAATTTAAATTAATTGCTGCAAAATCAATTCCAAAAGATAAAAGAAGTTAAAAGTTCATTGATGAAAAATTGAAAGACTATATGTGAAATATTCATTTTCATAAAACATCTGAAATTAAAGAAATGTTTAGTCCATTCTGATTTGGTCAAGTTAAGAGCCTGCCTAGGGCATTATTTAAAATAATGAAAAACTAAACAAAATACATAATAATACCAATAAAAATAAAACTAAGTATTCTTAAGCTTGGCAGAGGGTATTCCACTTCGCGACTATTTTAATGGCACATTCCGCATACTTGGACATCTTATTGTTGTTGTGTTGTGTGTTGGATTTTTTGGCTCTGGCTTTGCTGTGAGCAAACTACAAAGGCGCGCCCTTAAATGCAGCTTGTAATTTTCATTTAATTTTCAGTGTTGTTTCGTTCCTCGTCTTTCGTGTGCTGAAATTGTTACTGAGTTGACCCTCTAAAAGGGCGACCATTAAATGTCGCGACTTGCCGAGACTTAAGGCCCAAGAAATTGGCTGTAGCTATGGCTGTGCAGGAGTATGGATGTAATTAGCTGGTCTCTGGCTCTGATCGCGTGTGTGGCAGTAATCCGTCTGGGTGGGTCTGCCGAAGCCGTGGCGAACGTGTCATAAGCCGGGGCACTGGTCTCCCTTTATATGAAAGGCCAATTTTAAGCGAGGCCAATGCCAGTGCGCTTTCAGCTTTAATTACTGGTGGCGTTGCGAGAGGGCAGGGATAAGTGCTTGCTGATACCAGCTACAAGACTCTGAAATGGTGTATTCCATTAATCACAATGAGAGCAACAACAAGAGCGGCAATAAAAGCAACACCACGAGTGTACATTAAAATTAAATTTGTGCTTTATAACGAACGTTAGGGCGAAAAACTTAGCAATACAATTTGGCTAATTTGCTGGATCATGGTGACGTGCCACGCCTACTTAACCTTGTTAACAGGCAAATAGGTGCTACTAGGCGCAGCAGGCGCCTCAAGCTCCGATACAATGGAGCCGGCATTGCCATTGCTTAGGGTTTCGAGGTTGACAGCTCCCGTTCGACGTTCATTTATAAATTGCACCGGCTGCTGTTCCTGTTGAGTCACCTGCTTGGAGGCAAAATCAAGAACTGGCGCAATGCCGGCATTGTGGGATGTTGAGGAGCCGCCCAGGCGATCGTACTCTTGTTGAATGGTGCGCTGCGCATTAATGGCGTCCTCTGGTGTACGATATTTGACAAAGTGCACCTCGGGCTTCTTGGCATTGATGTTATTGAGGTTCTGCAGCTTGTTAGCCAGGCTAGTGAGGTCGCCCTGCTTGGTCAAAACGTAAATGGCTGTCTGTTGCTCTGCTGCTTGCTTGGCCAACGCTACAGCTGCATTCTCCAGACCCTTGTTTTCGGGTGCACGAATGAAGAGCACGCGCAGATTTCTCTTTAGCGAAGCGGCCAAGTCGCCGATACTATGATTATCCTCGAAGTCCGCTTCGGGTGCAGAATATGTAAAAAACTCCTTGTTAAACTCTGTATTGTCGTTGGAGTAGTCGGGTTGTCTGTTGGACTCATAGTCAACAGCTGAGCCACCAGTTAGAGAACCACCAGTTAGGGAGCCTTCAGTCAGCAAGCCGCCAGTTAGAGAGCCTCCACTCGATAAATTGTCAATGCTTGCTTCATAATTATAACCGCCCACATCTGCATTGGCTGCCGCCAGCAGAGCTAAGATCTGTCAAGTTAAGACAAACGAATTGAAACTGAATGCGATTTAAGTGCGAAGTTCTTACAGTGAACTTACAATAAGCTGACGCATTTTCGGGTGATGCTTCAAAGTCCAATTTACGGTTGCAATGTCAACGGCTGTCACCATACGCGATTACGCCGCGAGGTGTGGCAGACGTGTGATGCTGCCCGTGCGATCGATGGGCGTTTTTATAACCGGCAGCAATGGGCCAAACGCTAGGCCGTTGCAGATGCAGATTGCGCAGTCGATGGCCGCTCTGACTGCTGTTATTTTGGCCGTTCATCCACGTTATCACTGAATGTTGTAACTGGCGTTAAACACAAAAGCGGCCAGCCGTATCCGCCAGCGAATTAGTTTGCATAAATCAAAACCCTATTGCGAATTTCGCTGAATCAATCGAGTCGCACCATCGACATGCAAATGGAAATGGTGGAAGCACCGGTTCGAGATGTCATTGCGGCGAGCCAATGTTACCTATATGGGACCAATGCCACGGGATAGGTGGCGGATTTTATGTTTGCAGCGGTTAGCGGAAAATTTGCATTCTTGGCCATTTTGTGGCCATGTAATTAATTAATTATAAGCGTTCACACAAATGCAAATATATTACAGCACGCGAAAACAACACAAATGTCAACACTAAAGCTAAATAGTTGCACAGGCAGTGATTCGGAAACTGAATCGAAATTAAATATATGCACGATAAATATTTTATAATGATAGCTATCGATTAGCATGACAACAACAGTGGGAACCGCCTGCCATGAACAGCAAATTAATGCAATACATGGCCATTTCGTTAGCTTTTACCACTGCACCTGTATTCGTCTTTATTGTTTGGCCACAACAGATAACAATGCCGTTTCGTAAAATTAAAGAAAAAAAAAATTAATAAAAACAAATAACTTAGCAAACAACAGTAACACAACACCATTAAAAAACAAAGCAGAAGCAGCATTTATGCAAATTAACAAGCGCTTCAGGCATTTTGTAGTAAACCATTTCAGACTTTTTTCCGAATTAATTTGATTCTGCATATGTGTATGTTGTGACATCACAACACTTTTATTGACTTTTACTGTAACTGCCAACAACTGATTGGGCACAATTCGTTAATTTAATTCGCGTTGTTGATTTTTGTTAATTTAATTTTGAGTCCATCGAATTTTGAAGCATAGTTTGTAATATAAATATGCAGTTAATTGACCTGAAATATTGGATATTAATATATAATTTTTTGCTTTAAAGAAAATTTGCATTTAAAAAGAATAAATAACCATAGTAAATTTTGTATAGATGAACTTTTAGTTATAGTATTTTTTCTGTATAAGATTTCGTTGCATACTTGTGTGCATTTGCCAATTCTAAAAATAGTGTTGCTATACTTTAGGCTAGCTATCAAAATGGTCAGTCACTCGTAGCTCTGTCATTTTTCATTTGTTTTGTATACTAGAAGCTAAAGTGTTAGTAATCCGATAATGAGGGTAACGAGTCTTTAATATGACTCGTCAAATTCCGGCAAGTCCTGTTCAAAATCAATAGAAATGCAATTAAGTTAATTGGAAACATATGAGTTTGTAGAGTGGCCTATGTACATACGATATTGAAATAGGTAAGCAATCAGACAAACAGCTATAAATGTGCAATTAAGTAAATTATCCCAGTGCCCAGAAACAAGTGGCTATAAGTGCAGTGAAAACACTTTCATAAACTACAGTTCAAGTGCGCTCACTATGTTGAGGTAATGGGGATGCTAACGGAGAATTTCATGAATATTAATAAAAATGTATTTTAATGCAATAAGTTCAATATAATAAATTACTACATGTTAATCGAAAGCACCTTAAATTTACATATTTTGTATTAAAATTTCTTTCCACAAATTCTATAAATTTTGAATAGCTGGAGTTATTTAGACGGTATATCATACTCAGATCGTGCTTTATTTTATTGAAAAATCATTTCCATCGTCTTATTAATTAGAAATTTGTTTCAAGATTACAATTCTCATAGTCTAGCAGATAATCAGAAAACATTCTGATCCTGTGTATATGCGTATGAAAGGAACCTTGAATATTTGAAACGGAAACGAAATTCGTAGGGTGTCAGAACACTTTTCAAAGTTGTTAGACGATTTGCACTTAAGCAGAGAACATTTTGTAAATGTGAGTTTTATGCTTTTAAATATTCTTTAAAAATTGCCTTCCCCGATTATTTTCATGTCTTATGTCACTAAGTGTAAATTGTTCTTCCTAACGTATCGCTGACGCTGAGTATAAATCTATATGTGTACGCATGAGAATGTAAAATTACTCAGTAACCGTTCTCGCTGTCCGTTGCCTCTCGGCACGCGAAGGCACTTTACGTTGCATAAATAATTCAATAGACCGAAATGTCGCGACGCGACATAAAACATAAAAAACCTTCGCTGTCAGTGTCAGTTATAATATGATGCCCATGACAGTCGGTGTTGTTGCTGTTGTTGTTCTCAACGACCTCAGTTGACCCAATTTAAAATGTGTTGAACTCTTTGTGTGCGTGTGGTTAAGTATACACTGTTCCCAGTGGACCAGGGGTATATTTATTTTCTGCAAACTCGTTTTTAAACAAATTTTTGTATGAACTCTCATCATTTCAGTTTACTCTTAAACTGAAAAAGAGAAACATTCAGTATACTAGACATAATCTAAATCATGAATTCAAAAATATATTTTACTCATTTAAAGCTTTGAAAGTATTGTTATCCGCAGAATTACTCACAGTTGAAAGCTCCCTTCAGATATTGCCTAACACTATTGAGGAATAGTATTTGTATAATTAACACGATTTGGCATGGACATTTGAATAATTTGTGTTTTAATAGAAAGGCAAAAAGCAAAGTTTGCAAAAGTTGAAGTGTTAATCATGTTGGGTCGTGCATTGACCACTCTTAATACTGTTGCTAACTTGCGGTTAGTTCTACTTCCGGTTTTCGATTACAAAGGCCTTTTAATATAAGAAATTCATGGGATTTGGCACGTAACCGTTGCTTGTGGTGTTGGGCGTTTTTATGGGTGTTGCTGTTGTTGTTGTTGTTGTTGCTGTTGTTGTTCTTGTTGTTGTTGTTGTTGTTGTTGTTGTTGTTGTTGTGGTTGTTGTTGATGTTGCCTTGTTACGGGTTAAGTTGCTTTTCTTGTTTCTCGGGAGAGTCCTTGTGTCAAAAACGAGGTGGCTATGGGTCCGGTTGGTAGAATATCGAGAAAGTTGTTCATGGTTCTGGGTGTGTGCTGAGTGGGAAGGTAACTCCTGGCCATAAATTCTTAAAAGGATTTGCTGCTTTATCCTCTGTGCCTTTAGCTCATTTGCTTGCGTTTGAAAACAAAATAAAGCAGAAACTTTTGCGTCCGATAGACATATAAGCCAATAACCGACGCATCAACAGACTGCATGACATACCAATTAATTAGGCGTATTTCTCAAATTATCGCCTTGGGCAGGGCAGCGATAAGCCCAAGACGCGTAAATGACCTAGCATGTCAGCGCCAACTTAAGATATCTTGGAAAGCAGTTAGAGGTTGAGTTTAAAGCATTATACAGCTTTCATAACTTGCCTGCTACCAATATTGCTCGACTGCTTACCGGGAGCCGCATTTCCGCTTTATTTGCATTGCTTGCCAAGTTTGTTGTGTTTTGAACTTGAGCTTCCTGCCACGGCTGCTGCTGTTGCTCCTATTGCTGCTGATGTTCTCGCTGCCGGTCGTTGCTTTTCCTGTGAAAAGTGCGCTGCATAAGGAATTTGATTAAGACAACAAGTACGGTAACTGTAATGCCAACAACAGCAGCAACTAAAATAACAACAACAACAGTCCCGTTGATGATGTTACAGTAGCAGCTGTTGCTGTCGTCAGCACTGCTACTTCTATTGCTGCTGCCAAGCTCGTCAACGCAATGCTGTCGAAGGCTTATGCGGATATTGTGCATTTGCTTTGAGTTCTGCCGGCATTTGTTTTCGCTCTTAGTTTAACTAGCTTATTGTTGATGTTGATGCTGTCTGCCAGCGACTGGTTTTTCATGTTATTGTAGATATGGCTGCTGCTCTACTCCATCCCAGCACTGTCCAGGGGCGATGGGGATTGTTGTCTGTTTGTACGTGATGAATTTTTAAGCACACCCTGCTCAATTGTGCAATGCATTTACTGATTCCTCAAGTTTTTAGATCTTGTTTAGAAAGTTCAGTTTAACCCAGATTGAGCATTTGTTAATCAGACTCGAAAATAGCTTTAAATGTCCAAACACTCTGTTTAATATTACTTTTTATAGCAAAATCATCAAGAAAGACATTTGCTTCAAAGTGCTGATAATTGCAGTGTATTTCCATAGCGTTGCATATCAAGTTATATGTTAAAATATCTAAGCATTTTGCATGGAACTTGACTGTTTTCTTACCATGCCAAGCATCAACGGAAGCAGCTCGAAACTGGCACATAAACACATTTCCATGTTGTTGATATCTTTATAGTATATCGTGAAGGCTGCAGATAGCGGATGCGCTACCGCTGACACCGTCAAGGATCTACTTACAGGCGCTGTTACTGTTGTTGCAGCTCCAGGAATAGAATATTTAAATATTATTTGCGTTGAGATTGAGATATTCTTTAGTTGCCGTCTATTAAATTATACAATTACTTGATATACGATACGAAAACAAGCGCATTGTTTCCGCTCGAAATACGATGTCGGAAGTTTTAATAAGCCCCATATTTGTGAGTGCCAACGCGCTATTAAAGTCCAATGGCATTGAAGGTTTTAAACTAACACAGCTGTCAATTGGTTTGTCAGCACATTGGGTGCATAAAACTTTACGGTCCCCACATAATTTTCTCAGACGTAGCTGCTGGTGTGTAGGTTTGTTGGTCTGTGCGTGCGTGTGCTTAAAGTGTGTATGTGCTGGGTGTGCAGGTAATTTCGCAGTCATTTTGCATTTGTAATAAAGCAACACGTCGTCACAGACGTCGACGCCCGCACGCACGGCTGAGGTAATTACGAGGCCGCAGCCGTCGAAATTTCACCAAGCACACTTGAACTCATTTATATGCCGCGCAGGCTTCTTATCAAATATGAAACAAAGTCGTAAAGGATAATTGGACATACAGTGTGTGAGTGGGTCCTGCGGCGCTGGTATACGAATAATGCAAAGTTATCCACCAAATCCGCTCAACTCCATTAAAACACGTCGCCAAGTTGAGCAGTAACAGCTTAAAGCTTTACCTTTTATTCAGTTGATTTCCACGGAAGTAAACTGGCTGGAGGCAAATGACTTTAATTAAAAAATAACGTTCGTTGCTAGCATCATATGTTTTTGATATACAATTATCTTTATTTTCATTAGCTATTCAATATGAAATTGACTTTTAGTCACAATTAGTTGACAGTTGTCTTCTCGTTGCCCACTTGGCCAGTCTTCAGAATGTTTGACCAATTTGAAATCGACTTGTAAAAAAATATTGTACTTAAATTCGTTTTAATGCGTGACCTGCATGTGACTATCCTTTATTTGGTTTCTCATGTTTTCGCACATCAATCATAAAAGGCAAATATTTACAAGCTTATTTGGGTGCAAATTGCTTTTGGCCTTTGGCGCATTCAGCTCTGACTGGTGGTGTTTGCGACTGATATTCTAGAAATCTACTTAACCATTCCATTTTTTTTCATTCCACTCTTTTTCAGAAACTCCAACCGAAAGTTTCGCCGTCATATTAATGAAAATGCGCTCGGCATTATTCGCAGTACCTTGAACAGCGGCGGTTTCGGCCCTCAGGCACCGAACATTAACAAGGAACTGGGTATCCCTTCAAATGCCGGACCAATGAACCAGTTGGCAGCTGGCTATCAGCGTCCGCTGTCTCATCCTGGCGGAGGCAGTGCCGTAGCCGCCGCAGCGGCGGCAGTGACCGCCGCTCAGATGGAGAAGGGCATGTTCAGCATTAGTCAGCTCAACCTGGAGATAACGGAACAGCACGTGGGCAGCAATGGTCGCATGGAGATCACATGCCTGTCGACAATACCAGCGACGGTTGGACAAGGCGAGCAGTATGCCGATTACAAAACGTATTCGGTGAAAGGTAAGCGGAACAACTCGGCGTATGCGTGATATGCATATAAGTATGGATATTTAGATGTGTACCTACGTGAATTAGTATATTATACATAAACATGTATGTCTGTATTTATTGTGCGCTGCGTGAAATGCTGTGTAATAATAATATTTGTTTTGGGCCTTGCTTCATAAAATTGCGAGCAATGAGCTCATCAAAAATACGGCTCGTTTGCATACGGGCGCCCAATATGAATGTGAATTATGGAATGTTGGAAGGAATCTCGGCCGCATTTACACAAAATAATTTAGCTCCATGCGGCTCTGGGTTAGACAGACCTGTTAAATGTATGCTCATTGCTATTGCTGTGTCTGCCTTCATCATGATGACTCTTACAGAAAGACTCAACAATAAGATCCCTGGGCTAAAGAAGCAAAAGTCAACGTCGCACGGTTTTTGGCATTTTAAAATGCGTCCCTAATTTATATTTCTGGCGTTGACTTTACAGTCATCCACCCCTAGAGTCACCACCCACAGCGCAATGTGTGAGCTTGTGTCATCTATTTTGTTTGCCTACGTTTAATTTTCGCTTAATGCCGTCCTGCCCATATTACCGCAAAGTGTGCAAACAAAAGTTAATTTATATATTTGCTCGGCTTTGTTTGTCTATACGTTGGCTGTTAGCACTTGCACCCAGTAAAGCCGTTGACTCAGTCAGTGCTGTAAATTGTCTCAAATTGCATGAAATAATTTACACATTACTAGACCCATGACTCAAGACGGTCGTTGGCCGCTGTCGCCGTCGCCGGCACCAATGGTTGCTTACGGCCTGTTCGGCTCTTGAGTGTACCCAAAACTAAGGGGCGTATGCGTGTTATTTATGGTGCGTGAAGTGCGTCGTTTGTTTTAGCCAATTCACAGAGAAGAGTGCTTCAGTCCTTAATTGTTTCTTATGCCGCCTTTAAGATCTGCAATCATTTTGTCTGCTTTGATTTGTATTAAATAATTTTTGCAGAGACTTTCTTTTTTTACTCTATCCTGTTCACTCGCTTTTGAGGGAAATGCATTTACTTATTGGCACATGATAATTTGAGTGAATTTAGAGTTACAGTAGAAATTGTTTCATGACACTCTTAATTCGAGTTTTTCAACTTGATGTAATTCTTCGTCCATGTTGTTGGAGCGCAATCCCAAATTTCCTGACTGCTTTCTATTTCGCAAACGCTCTTTTCACATTCATTATTTATACGTTCACTTGACAGCTTGTTTTTGTTGTTGTCTGTTTTTAGCCACGTTGTCTCGTAGACGACGAGTTTAAGGGGTCTAATTAATTTTGTTAGGCAGCCTTGACTGCTACCTGGCTCTAAAGTATATTTTCTACCTGATCTGACCATTGTTTTTGACTTTCTAAAGCTTTATTTATAATGTTCGTCTCTCTTTTGACCTTTGCAGTGGAGGTAGAGCGACACCAGGCGTCCTCCACGTCAACGGCACCACCTAGTATTGGAATGGCTGCTCTAGGCAATGGTAACGGGCACGGAAACGAGACCTCTGCCGGCTGGCGGGCGCGTGGGGCTGTCCTAACGCATCTGTGGTCGCTGGCGCCCCTGCTGATATTCGTTGTGCTACCACTGAGCTATTAGGAAGGGCCAACGGTAAAAGTTGCAACACAAACTGCTGTAGGAGAGCAGACCACCGACGTAGTAAAGGTACAGTAAACAAAAATAAGGGCACCGATTGCAGCAGCAAGCAAAAACAAAAGACAGACACAGCAACAACAACAACAGTCGCACACAAGCTATTTGGCTTTCACACATTTATTGTAGACCAAATTTAATTTAATTCGGTGTAATTATGCTGAAGACAAGCGAAGTGTGTGAAGAACAGTAAACCAAGCAAGCTATTTAGAGCGAGTGCATAAACAATAATATTTTTTGCCTCGTTCTGGCAAGCTAATTAAACGAGTTTTTTTGTAAATAATTGCTGGACTGCAATTTTGGTATTTAAAAAAATAACAAAGTGAAGAAAATATTTGTAATTAAATTGCAGTCAAATGAGAACAATGCGAATCTGTTTCATTTTCAACAGAGGCAATTTTGTAGCGTAGCGAAATTTGTGCAATGCTTACAATTGAAGATACTCTTGTTCCAGGTCCGGAGGATGTCCTGAGAAAAGCAAATTAACAAAAAGACAAACGGTTAGTTTGGTATTTGAAGGTCATCCAGTTGAGTTTTGGGCCTGGCTAAATATTTGTGAAAATTCAAAAAAAAAAACAAAAGATTATCAAAAATAATAGAAAAAAACATTTAAACTAGTTTAACAGAGTTTACGGCTAACTTAAGCAGTCGCCAGACGGCTCCGGTTCTTGTACCTAAAATGTAAACAAATAATAAAAAGTTATGCAAACAAATTGATATTTTTTATGGTATTGTAACGCTTTGGCTAATCAGCGAGATGGCAAATCTATGGCTAAGATTCGGGCGAAATTGAATTTGGGCCCTAGCTACAGAAAATTAATTAACCCCCACAAACAAAATTAAATGTTTAAATGTAAAATAATTAGACAGTTAAACCAAGAAGCTTACAAATACAATCAGTGTTGAAAACATTTTGAGAAAACCTAAACCAAAAACAAATGCAAAACAAAAAACAATACGAAACAAAAGAAAATTAAAGACAAGGCGTTGAAATGGTCGCAATCTGCCGCACGTGGCAAATCTAAAAAAGGGTCACCTTAAAGGGGTCAACCCGCAATGACGCGAAATTCGCCTGTCCTGGTTTCGGGACACCCAGTTCACTCCACTCACACAGCTTATTTATTTGCATTCGTTTAGTCTTTAATTGCGCTCTGTAAATTGTTATTATAGTAATGGATCTGTCTAATAAGTGCGAGTAGTTAGGAAAATATTTTAATTTGCTTTTCAGAGTTCGTTCTTTTTGTTACAATGAGGCGAGATATTTCTATATGGGTGTTTAGAAGTATATTTAAACGATATTTTTAAAAGCGCTTTAAATGTCTATTGCTAACTGAAAACTCCAAACGCGTAGCACTCATTGTAAGATGTATCTATAGCAACTAAGTCAGAAAGCGATGTAAGAAAAACCAAAGAAATTAGCACAGCGCAAAGTAAATATATGTAAAGCAAGTAGCAACTTAGAATATACAGTATATAATATACACATATCTAAAATATGCGTCTACATAAGTGTGTAACTATTTAGAAGTTAGGTAATTATTTTTAACTCCACAACAAATAAAGAGAAATGAAAAATGTATAAAATTTATTACGCCTGCAAACAATTTACTACAGTTTGAAGAAGTAGCTAAAGAAAAATACAACAAATATATATTGAAAGAGAGAACCCAAAAAAAATTCCGGAATAAATAGAAACATTTTGTAAAACGGTTGTTCAAAGCATTAGTTAATGAAATATGCAGTAAATACCCTTAGTTTCAGATAGAATTGAAAAAGAAAATAAATGCATTAATGTAGTGTATACTTAATGCTTTAAAGGACTACATACAATTTTTATAAAAAAAAAAACAAAACATTACAAAATGGTATAACAAAGTACATATTATATATTAAAAATATGGCTAAAATGTCTTATGCAGGTATTGACGTCTTCCTATGCTACGCTGTCTATTATTAACTGAACAAGTAAATCAATTGAAAAAATTTATAAAATATACATTAATACACTAGATAATAGGAATATTCTAATATATGTATACATACATATATTCGTATGCTAAATTTATAATACAAAACAAATGCATTATGAGAATGCGTTAACGTGTTGATGCGACCTAAACTAACACTCGGATGAAACAACAATAAAAAAATAATTTTATCTATAAATGATTTAGTTTAAGTGAGAATCTATGGACTTTTGCTTTGTTTCTTGACTTATTCTTGCATTTTTTTTCATATATTTTTACATATCTAATATCGATCATGTCCTTGGCATTATTTATAATTTCTCGTCTCATAACTACGGGCAAATACTTCCCACCAATCTATATGACACTCTCAAGCACATTACATATCATATCTATCATGTATTCATATCAACCATATCAAGTAAAACTTCTTTCAATGTCTTAATGTACATGCATACGATACGATTATAAATACATTGGCACATACACCCAAAATCGATCATATCCTTCTGTCGTCTGACTTTGATGTATTAATGCTTTGAATGTTCAAAAATAAGTCCACGCACTGATCAAAAAGCATCTTATCCAATACATACGTGTTTCTTATGAAACAGATAAATTCTATATTTATGGAATATATACATAAGAAAGAGGAGCTCTTAAAAAATTTCTTTAAAACAAAATAATTAAATGTCACAGCAATTCGCAAAACATATCATAAATGTTGTACAATTTTCTGTGTTAAATGAATGTAACCAAACAGATATATAGATATATATATATATATATATATAATACCAATGTATATATATAAATATAGAAATATACTTCAGCCCAACGAACTTTCGGGAACTTATTTAAAAGCATTGTGCACATTTTCCAGTTTAAATAATCTTCGATATACTCAGTGCAAGGAGTAATGCAAAAAGTATATAATTGAATAATTGTCGAGGCAGGTAATGCGAGTAACTAACAGAAAATAAAATTTGAAAGCCACAAGCCACAAGCCACAATACGAAAAGAGGCAATTACAACAATTAACAATTAAACATCAATTTCGCCGGCCGTGGCCAGTGCAATTAACATAATTTAATTCAATTTGAATAGTTCAATGATGCTCAATTGAGAAGCAACACTAATTGCGGAAACTGTACATTTATTGAAATGGGAAATAATTGTATTCGCTCATATATGGTGAATATAAAAAGCATACCAGCATTGACGCGAGCAATGCATTTTGCTTGATATTATTTATGTTAATTTATTAGCACTTCTGTCTCAAGCAGAGATTTGCCAACATAATCATATACAAACACATTTTATATGATTTGATAAGCGAATAACATCGCGCCAGCCACACTAAAACATTAACACATACTAACACACTAAAGTGCATTCAGGCTATAAGTATTTTTGTAATCGTAACCGTGGGTACCTACATAATTTCATTGACATACATATATACTACACGATTCTTCCAATTACACATATCATTGCGTATATGTCAAATATTTACACAAATATTTATGAAATTTATATTGTGGGCGTATATGAAATTAGCAGAAATAATTAACGCTGAGTTTGACTACTGCAAAAAAAAAAAAACAAAAGCAAAAATTACAAAAAAAAACATAAAAAACCATACATGTCATTAATTTCATTTATTGAATATGGAAATAAATTAAGTATATCAATGCATGCTTATACACATGTGAAAATTGACATAATTCAACATTGATTTATTGTTTCGCATTGAGTTGCCCTTTGTTAAGAATATATTTTAATAAATATTGTACTATAAATCCTAAGATGTAAGTGAATAGCATAAAAAGAGCTATTAACAACCACAGCGGCAAAGAAATTCAATGATGAAATTGTTGTACCACAAATAAACATAAACAATTACGTAAATAAATATGTATTTATAGATACAGGCATACCGAACGACGCATCACATACACACATGTAAAAATTGCAACCTATGCAAATTAATTTACAAACAAATGTATACATATACGAAAAGTAACTGTGGAATATGTGTCTGTGTACTTATTATTAAAGAATTTGTACGTAGTAAATATGAGTAAATATGTACAATTTGGTGTCGAGCTGTCAACTTTACTATGACAAATAAAACTTTAAAGTGAATTCCAATAACAAATGAAAACAGAAATGGACAACTAAAATAGAAGTCAGCTCTCAAAATGACGCCTGCTGCTTGGCTTGTCAGTTTACTAAACAAAAATTGATATATAACTTATAAAATATGATTACTATTATTTGTGGTAAAAAATGAACTAAACATAAAATAAATGTTGAAAACTGAAGAGCTCACAAATTGTATTAAAACTTTCTCCAGGAAGCATGGCTCCTAACTATTCCGCTTGCTATTCAATTCAAAATAAAGTTGTGTCAACCGCAAAGGCACAACAGGCAAACAGTTACATAAGGTTAGAAAATACCCACGTAAATCGGTCAAGGGTCAGGGCTGCAAGAATGGGGCAAACAAAAATTGTGTTTACCTTTACGTTTGACGAATATCCTTTTAATCCTTTAAAATACGCATGGAAATTGAAGGAGCTGTTCAACAACGAGGGAACGCATAAGGTCAGAAGTCTGCTAAAATTACAAAGGGGATACCAGCAGCAAATGTACGATAATAAACGAAAGGATCAACTTCGAAATAAATGGCGAATCAAGGGTATCGTAGCCATAAAACACATCCGACCACGGCCACGGACAAAGCTAGAGCTTTTTCTTTTTACTCAGCCTGTCCATCTGAATCTCTTTCTCTTTATCCTTCTCTATCTCTGTCATTGTATTTGCCTGCTGTCCTCTTTCGTATGCTCCGAACGCTTCAAAGGTGCAACGAGCTTGGTTGCCTCATTACGGAATCAAAGCCGTGGGTTGTACAAATACACAGCAGATCATGTGTGGGTGAGAATGTGTATTCTGTGTGTGTGTGTGTGGTCACAGATGTGCTCCATCGATTGAAAATTTTGTGTGACAGACAACTGTGGCAGGCAGATGGCAAGTTTGAATGGGATTGGTCAATTAACGCCTGGCCATCAACAGATTTCCTGAGTAAGCCATCAAAAGGGATGCCTCGGTGTCTTGATTAAGGTATAAATATTAAATTAGCCAAGGCCAACGTTGCGAGTGGGCTTCAGTGCTTTAACTTTAGCTTTTGTTGCTGCTGCTGATACTGCTACTGATGTTGCTAATGAGCCATGTCTGCAAGTGAAAAAGGCACACAGGATGTGGTTTATTCAGCGTTGATTTGGACCCCACTATCAGCCACCCAGGCCAACTCTCAAACTTGTTTAATTATACATGGCAGTGCCTAAAACTCAACTAATTGATATGCAGCAAAGAGAAAAGCGCCAGTAGGACCAGGGTCTGGGAATGTGGCAGAGTTAATGAGCCAAAACTGGCAGCATGTGTGCCAAGTTTCGACAGGCAGTCGAGCGGTTGCTTTGCATACAAACTCTCACTGTGCCCAAGATCTGATCGGGAACCAAACGAATAACTCAATTTTCATAGAGTGGCTGTTGCACATAGCCAACCAATAAACACTTTTTGCAACAAATTCAAAACTATGCCCACAGCAGCCGCAACCACAGCCGAAGCCGAAGCAGGATCAGGAGCAGGAGCCAAAAGCAACGGGGACACTGAAACTTTTTGACAGCGACAAAATTGCGTACAACTGCCAGTTGCATTTGGGGCGAGGCATTGGCAGCTACCTCCATTCTTTGAGACCTGCACAGGCCAGTGTGGGTTTCGTGAGGGGGTTGCACTGCCGGAAGCGTTTGTCGAATTAACAGCAGCAGCAACTTTGCTGCAGCTGAAACGAAAAGAAACTCACTGACACACCGGCAAAATAATAACAGCTACAAAATGTCTCAAGCACATTTCAATTTGTTAGCCCCGCTCGCTCCTGAACACACACCCGTGCACTCTTCTAAAGTTTTCTCCTATATGGACAAATGCCAAAATATTTAGTTTTACAACAAAAGTTGTGCACGAAACTCGTACCATTTGAAAATTGAAAAGAAATATTGGTTACTGACAGTAGAAAGTCGTAGAAAAAAACAAACACTAAAGCAGAAAAACAGAACCAGAAAAGGCTAAAACTGAAAATAAAATTGCAATTTTTTGTTTCTCTTTTTGGTGTGAAATCGGATTGCGTTGTTTTCGGTGCTGGGGTCTCGTCGGCTCACCGCAACTGTCAGTTAGTGTGATTGCGGGGGTCTCGGTGTGCCGGTATTTGCCATGCTTTTGCATGGCCTCTTTAAATTCCTGCGATTTGTAGGCGGTCACAAAATCCAGCTTGTATTTGGATGACGCGTATGCTCTCTGGGAATTGCATTTATGATGATTCTATTTTTGTTTGCTTTAAATGCAGAACAGCCTAAAATTATGCTACACGTATTTAAACAAAAAGTAACGTGCTTTGAATTAGGTTTATAGATGTTACAAATTGTGATGGTTTTTATGAAATACGCATATGTAAACCATAGATTAGCCAAAATTGATCCTAATGTTCTATCAAAATACGTAATGCAATACTATCTAAAGTATGCCCTTATAGGGGTGATAGTTGAGCTAGAGCTTAGAGCTGTTTTCATAATTGAGTTGGTGGGCACAGCAGGTTGCTCATTAACACGCACACTTAAAGCCACACAAACACAAACAGACACAGACACATTCACCACACCCACATTCAAGTATGGGGACACCTTGGCGACTCTCACACATTCTAGAATTTAGCAGCCATCTCGAAACGCTGTGGCATAAGGCACGCACACAGCAAGCACTTGGTTGGGAGCAGCAGAGCGTCGACTCGGTCGGTTGCTTGCCGCATATCACCTTAATTACAGGCAACAGTCTGAGTGCAGTCAGATGGCAAATGGAAGGCAGGCAAACGGCTTTTATGCTTGGTCTGTCATTGCCACGCCGCTACTGATGCTGATGCTGCTCTGCAGGCCCGGGATGCGTGCCATATTGTCGTAGTCGTTACGCTTTAGCGATTTAGCACTGTACTTGCAGAGCAAGAAACCGGATTCAGCTTGCACTTGACTGCTGATAAGCGTGTGATTTCTATACACACAGACACGCACAGAGACACACACCATGCAGCCTGATAGACAGCTTAGCAGAACATATACATTGAAGCAGCTGCTGTCATGCCCATGAATACATGCGCCGTTGAGTTGCGTTTATGCCAGTTTTATGTTACATCTAAGTGAAATTTAAGGACTCAGCTCAACAACGTTCTAAATCCACTGCATAGTTGCTGAGTTACTGAAGGGTGAGTGGAGGTTGGCTGGTTTGGCTAAAGGGCATTTGGGTGCGGCTTTTCACATGATGAGTTTGCCTACTGCGGAAGCCGGAAAGCATCATTGTGAACCCACCGAATCACATACACGCCCACTGTAACATACAAATACACACACTCAGTTGCCGGGTGTTGGCGAAACTGAGCAGACATTGACCAAATCAGCAGGTAAAACTCATACTTGTGCACAGGTGCAACAGGACATTGCCACTTATTTCGACCACAGCTGGTAACGAGCATGGCTTCCGGCCACTGTACGACTGCTTCGTTTCGATTCTAATAACTCCAATTACAAATGGCGGCAGTCTAAATCCATTGTGCATATGTGAGCGCTACAGCCTGTGTACTCATCTCTGTGCGTCGGGGTGTCTGTTTGGGATACTGGTTGGCTCAACTTGTTGCAGGACTTTATGACTTGCCTGCCACTTTATCCATGCTATTATTTCAAGGATTAACTGTGAAAGAAAAACGCACGACTGCACAACCAGACGCCAATACTAACACGAACAGCGATGCCGACGCTTACGTCATAGCCCTTGGCCAGGATTTGCTTCGAAAACAAATCACACATTAAACGAGCTAACCAGGCAAATGACATTCGGAGTGAATGCATTGCAAATGGAAGGAATATGTGCACATGGATGTCCTGCACAAAAATAGACACAATTAAGCGGCAATAAAAGTTAGCTGAACATCAGCTTTCACCTCCAGTTTCTAATTGAGCACAGATTGATTTAAAGCTTCTAGAAAATTTTATTCCTGTATTGGTGCTTAAAACTAAGTTGTTGTCGGAATGGCGGGTGCAAGTACGGTTGTATGGGCATGTGCTATCGTATAGGAATCGTAACCATCGATAATAAGCTGTCACAGCTTACTTGACACGAAAACGGCGCAATGCGGGGGGCAGATAGTCCTGTGAAGATACCACATTGGTCGGCAGGTACTCAGAGCTGGGAGCGCGAACTGTGCTAATTTGGGGTGCAGGTGCCTGGGAGGCAAAGTTCAAAACTTTTGCACTGCCTTCGTTGGAGATGCGTGAGACACCGGGCAATTGATTATATTGATTCTGAATAGCCAGCTGGGCATTAGCAGCATCTTGAGGAGTACGGTATTTGACAAAGTGGACTTCGGGCTTATTGTTGGAGCTCGACTTGAGTGCATTGAGCTGTTTGGCCAGATTGGCAACATCTGCCTGCTTGCTCAGGACATAGATAGCAGTGTCCTGCTGGGCAGATTGCTTCGCGAGTTGCAGGGCGGCACGTTCGAAACCGCGATTCTCGGGCGTGCGAATGAACACAATACGCAGATTTTTCTTCAACGAGTCAGCGATTTGCTGATTATTAATGCCCTCTTCGAACTGGTCCTCGGGCGCAGCATATGAGTAGAACTCCTTTTGAAATTCCTCAATAAGCGGTGCCGGCTGGGGAATGATTGACCTTTGGGCCGGTGCAGCAATTGGTGCATCGATGGGTAATGAGAGCTCAGCCTCGCCATGCTGCGATGTAGGTACACCTGATACTGAGGTCAATCCGTTGCCGGACACCAACGAAAGGCCCTCGTCCGCATGGGCTACTGGCTGATAGTTGTAGCCTAACTTGTCAGCGCCACAAACGGCAGCCCACAGGAAAATAAGCTATGAAAGTTGTGATATGGTTAATTGTCATTAGCGTGGGCACGGCACTCAGTATCTTTTCAAAACTTACAATAAATCCACGCATTGCTTGTTGTTGTTTAGGCTACTGCACAGCTGAAGCTACGAGATGAAACTAATGATGGGAATTGGCGTGGTATCTGCTTTTATAGGCGCAGTCGGCTGCAGTTAAATATTATGGCTAAGCCCCACCCTCTACCTAGTGCTCAAATCGATGGGCTTCAGGCATCTGCGACCTTGACAACGCATGCCATATTAATTTGTTATTTATACCATGTCGAAGTCATTAAAGCGAAGCTCGAATTTAAATACAACTAATTCAAGACATCTAGTAGGCCTAGTCAGTATTTGGGTCCATTTGTCTCGGCTTCAACGCCGTCGCATTTTGATTTAAATGCACTTTACGACATATATAAATATGCATGGACCGCTTTGTCTCATTCTGTCTCATTCTCCAACTAAAACGTTTTGTTTCAAGCCGGAAAAAACCAAAACCCAAAATACGTAGCACTCCAGAGTAGCAAAGCTCATTGTGAAATATAAATAGCTACCGATTTCAGCTGATAGCATCACGGACGATGTCCAACCCTGGGTCAGCACTAAGCTGCTAATTATAATTTTCACAAAGTTTTGCTTTTATTTAAATCACTTTGTTGCAAAAAGCCTCAATACATTTTGGAGACTAATAAAGTTTTTCAGCCAATTAAGACATTTTATTATTCATGGATGGCAAAAACAAAACCAGCTTAATTTTGTAAGAATCTTTTTCGCCCCAATTGCGAGACTAGGAAAAAACCTTAACTCTTTTTCCTTGAACACAATAGAGTTCGGAAATCACAATGTTTTAAAAATATTTCAAGGGAACATTTGTAACGTGAGTAATAATTACTATTTTAACTATTCTGTGGCTTGAACTAAGCAAATGAAATCACCTTGAAAATGAGTCCTTATTGATTTTCTGGATGGGCTAATGAGTAGATGAAACAGCTAAGCTTTAAGGATTTAATTTAGGCTTCCTCTGTCTGCTACATACATTTTCACAAAGCTAACATAACCTTTTAATCCCACTGTAGGACTTAAGATCTTTGAGATTATATCATACCTACTAGTTATGAAAAAGTGATTGGCAAATATACAACATACTTTACTTTTTATTTGTATAAAATTACTTAATAATCTCGATTTTAAAATTCAATATGAATAAAAAGGGAACTGAAAAAAGCAAGGTTTTTTATTTTGCCTAAATATTCTATTGTCATGTTAGGGATAATTTTGTGAGTGTGGTCTGTAGAAAAACTAGATCTTTGAAATTCGCCTAATGGCAAGCCAAACAAAGAATATAAAAAAACTCTGGTTACAAGATGGGCAACACGCAAACTTGGCATCTGCTACTGAGAAAAGGTTTGGGATGGTGGCGCTTTGGTTGGGCCTTGGACACACCTGTGTTGATATTGGAGCAGAAATTTCAAGTCATGAGCCGCCAGCCAAGATTAAAGCGCCCATGTACTTGCAGCGTTTCCCTAGGAGCGGGAAAAACCTGGCAGCTTTGACGTGACTGGCAAACTTTTTGGCAGGCGCCGCTAACGAGCTACGTTCTCTTACGTACCGGTTCTCATGTTGCTCGAAAATTCTGAAACTAAAACTTGCTCAACAGATTTGTAGTGCCAGGATGCCTTTTTTACGGCTGCACTTCAGTGTGCCACATGGCGAAGTGGCAGTATGGTAGCATGGCTGTGTGGCAGTGCTGCTGTGTGTGTTTGACCTCTGCACTAAAACAATTTGCAAGGCAACATGATGTCAGCCCTAGTGTCGTTGTCAGTGCCGGCACTGCCATAATTTAGTTGAAACATTCTTAAAGCAACGCCTGTCGTTAATCTTTACGGATGGATAGCAACGCAGCTTGCGGGACAAAAAGAAGGGCCGACCCAGCTTCACGCATAGCTCATTAAAAAGTTTTCCAGTGACAACCTCGACAGCAGCAACAGCACCAGCAGACGCATTGCTTAAGAAAATGTTTGCATGGACATAGGTCGTTCATGATTACCTAAGAGATACCTTAAAGATAATCTTAAACTGGGCGCATAGCTCAGCACGAGCTCAAAAGTGAAATGTTTCGACTTGTCAACCAAGTCATTAATTATTCATAATACCATAGCTGCGCTTAGCTCTCGGTCTCAGTTGGAGTTGGAGGGTACTCTATAGATGACAAATGATGGTTATACATATATTTATATATATACCTTTCATTATATACTTATATAAAATTAAATGGTTATGTTAAATTGGCAACGAATTTTCATTCTCTGCATATTTTTGAATATAACATGAATACAAAGAGTATTAAATCTTCACCGGCCACAAGTTTGACTTCTTGATTTGATTAAAATCAAAATGAGAAATTTTTTATGGCAAAAAAAAAAAAAACTAAGTTATGGCAACGATGAGATTCTTGGAGTCGGCTAATCGAGCTTCTCCAAATTGAGAAGAAAAATTAACGTTGAAACAGAATAGCCATAATTTTAATTTGCATAAAGAAGGGAATTATTATTAAAACGCAAACTTCTTATTACTTGTTGATAAATTGTGAAACAAACTAATTATAAATCGTTAAGAGCAAATATTTGATTAGACAACTTTTCTAATATATTCAAATTAACAAAAGCAATTTCGTTAATAATGAAAACTCGAAATAATGCTTTTTATTTTAATTTTATTTTATTATATATTTAAAGTATTTCTAATAAAGTATTATTTAAATGTAGCAGTCTTTGGCACAAGTCCATTTACAGCAAGCCTAACGCCGCTCCGCTGGAGGCAAATATTGTCTAAAGAGCGTCTGCAGCTTGGCGGCCTCCAGTACATTTGCCTCCTCATGATTATCGTACTTAGCGCTGGTTTTGGATAATATCTTGAACACCACTGGATCCGGCTGTGCTATGTGATGGGGCGGGTTAAGACGAATGACATTTGCGGTTTCCACGCCATGGCTGTAGCTTCTACCAGGCAACTGATCATAGCTACCTCGCAGGCTGCTTAGAGCACGACTTACATCAGCAGGCGTTCGATATTTGACGAAGTGAACGGTGGGTTTGTGACCCACCTGTTCCTCGATAGCTGCCTTCTGTTCAGCCAAAGCGGTAGCATCCATTTGCCTCTGGAGCACATAGATATCCAAAGCGTTGCGTGCCGCCAACTGCTTGGCTGTCAACGCAAACAGATTTGTCTCTGGTGTGCGTATGAAGACCACTTGCTGCGGAGGTGTTAGTGCCTTGGCAAGCTGACCAGCGGCCTGCAGGGGCAAGTTCTGGTCGTCATCCGGTGGTGCACTATAGCTGAAATACTCCGTGGCGAGAGGCCGGTGACCCGCGTACTTATTTCGGGTTGGTAAGTAAGCGTTGTTCAGTTCGAAGGCCTGGCTGGTACTGAGAAATAGCAAAAAGCTCTGCCGCATGAAGGAGATGGAATTTCATCAGACGAATGTTTCAATTCCAGCTTTGTTCAATATTCTTACCATCAAGGGGCGCATTTTTGCTGGAGCTTAGGATTTGCTACTATAGCCAGCAGTGGCTGATTTTTAGCGTTCGAAGCTCAGTTTGATTATAACCTAGTCACACCAACAAAACCATCCTTATATACGACACAAACAACAAAACTCATTTCTCGGCTGCGTTGGCTTTGTATGCGATTTTTTCTGCTCTTTTCAGAGGTTTTTGTGTTTATTGATTTTTAAAAGATTTTTGCAAGCATTTGTGCTCTGGTTGTTGTGTTTGCCTGATCCGATTATCCAAGTTAATGTCGTTCAATTTTGAAATGCTAATTTTCTGACTTGCCAGCAACAAAGCCAAGCCAAAGACTCATGTGAATTTGACCTGAGTTCGGATTGAACTTGAATTAATTCGCATTAAATTTACAAATGAGCTCCCAATTTGAATTAGTAATCAAATTTTTTCATACGACTGCTGTCCGCTACGATAGTTGTATACATTTGTTTTGACTCCAACACACTGTGACCCTTCGTCGCGTCCCCCGCAGTAACCTATAATAATATACTTTCACTTAAACTTTATTTTATGATCGCGTTTTATGGTTGCTGCTGTTTTGGTTAATTTACACGTCATTTTTTTATGTTTTATTGTTTGTAATAAGCTAACGAGCCTCGCTCCAGATTTTGGCGGATAAGCCGCTTATCGAAATTAATGACTTTGTCTCCGAACCTTTTCTTCTCATTTGCGGCAGGCACACAAATATGTTTACAGAGATGTGATATTTATTGCGTTGAAAGCTTTAAACAAGTTTAGTCTTTTGGTATTACTCTTTAATATCTTAATTCGAGGTAGAATTATTAGAGGTAGGCGCGTCTTCTGCGCTTCTGAGGTGGCAAATAACTATTCGAAATGGCTGGCAGATATGTTTTAGATGGTATCTCAGTGGGAAACACCATTCGACTGTTTGCGCGGTGTCTTTCGTTGACTCGGAAATCAATGCGTCTTACTTTGGCACTGCGTGCATCCAAGTCAAAAGGACTGGGTGCCAGTTGCTGCTCTGGCAGAGGCAGTGGAGGCAAATCGAGATGGCCTTGATCTGCACCACTAAAGTAGGGATGTGATGTACCGCCATAGTTGGTCATAGCAGGCAGATAACTTGATCCTGGTGCTGGAGGCACACCTATGAGCTCTTGAGAATAGTCACCGTGCTGTGCTAGTGGTTGATTTTCCGGATAGAAAGCCTGTAAGGGAGTCTCTTGGGTCTGCGGGTAGCCCAAAGCAGACTGCTGCAAAGATTGATCTCTTGCTCCTCCGTACTGTGCCTGAATTTGCTGTTGTGCCTGCAAGGCCTCCTCCTCCGTCCTATATTTAACAAAATGCACTTGGGGCTTGTGTTTATGCTGCGTCTGAGCGGCGTTCAATTGACTTGCCAATTCATGGGGGTCTGTTTGCTTGTTCAACACATAAATGGCAGTTTTATCTTCGCTGGTTTGTTTGGCTAGAGCGCTGAGGGCGCCTACGACGGCTTTGTTCTCGGGCGCTTTGATGAAAACAACTTGTAAGTTTTTTTTTGATTGCGCCAATATTTTGTGCTCTGTTAGCTCAGCCTCATCGACAGTATCATGGGGTGCTTCGAAAGCATAGAAATGCTTGTGGAAATCTGCGTGGTCTTGATATTGGTCTGATATTTTATATTTGTCAACCGATGCATCAGTTTCGTATCCGAATCCTATAGAATTCGGCTCATAATTGTAGCCCAGCTTCGCTGAACATACAGCTAAGAAAGAGAAAAACTAGAAAATATATGTATCAAAGAATATTTTTCAAGATTTCTTTTCTAATACTGGCTTACCACAACTTTCCGCATGCTGTAATCGCTGCAAAGACCAACGACCGTTTGCTAAACAGCTCCCAATTCAAAGGCCGTTTTATAATCTTAACTTGCTGAGTGTGCAACCAAATAGGGAATAATGATGGTAGATGCTTGCCATAAATAGTAAATAGGTTACCCAGATACAACATTACAAAATATGTTTTGCAAAAAAGTTGACCTAGCTTGAAAAATTTAACGTTTCATTACTATTATAATTTTTATTTTTTAAAAAAATTTCAACATTAACTTAATATAAATGGTTAACAATGGTCTAGCATATGCGTGGGAGTCAGATATGGTCAGTCTGGAGGCTTGGAGGCTTTCTGCTAGAGTCGACTCCTAAGCACGGCTGCGCAGTAGCGATGCGGGCAGATACGAGTTCACGGGCTCTTGCACAGCTGGTATATCTCGAACGGGTGTTTTGGAGGCAAAGTTAAGGACAGGTGCGACGCCGCCATTCTGATGAGTGCTGACACCGCCCAGCTGATCGTACTGGCCCTGAATAGCGCGTTGAGCATTGACAGCATCTTCAGGAGTGCGATACTTGACAAAGTGCACTTGCGGCTTCTGGTAATTGTTGGTGCGAATGTTGTTCAACTTATTGCCAAGATCGTTAATATCAGCCTGCTTGTTTAGAACATAGATGGCAGTTTGCTGTTCAGCAGCCTGCTTGGACAGGGATAAGGCAGCATCCTCGACTCCATTGTATTCAGGGCCCTTGATGAACACAACACGCAAGTTCCTACGAAGATTGCTCGAAAGTTGATCGTGATTAATCGGCTCATGGAAATCGCGCTCATCTGCGGTATAGGTGAAAAATTCCTTAAGCAGCTCGGGAGGCGCCTGGTATGCCTGCTCGGCAGGCGCACCATTGCCAACTGGCTGAATGGAGATTAGCGGCTCTGGGTTCACTACTCCTGTTTCTGCAGGTGGTACATAATTATTTTGACTTGAGCCAATACTGCTGGACGTGTAGGAGATGGATGGTTCAGCTGGCTGGTAGTTGTATCCAGACCTCTCAGCGTTGACTACGGCCAGAAGAGAAAGGGTCTGCAAAAGGAAGATGCAGTCAATTATATTACGATGCCATTTTGTTGATCCTCTTAAAACTCACAATAAGGACTCGCATTTTGTTGGTTTTGAGATAATACTTGTGAACTATTTGCTGTATCAAGCTAAAGTATGCTCATATCTCTGACTCCCACGCTTTTTATGTGATATCGAAGTGGTTGCACATACTGCGCTTTTTCGCACCACAAAAAATTTACGATATTGTTTTTATTGGTCATCTTTGATTTGTGAACCACATTAAGCGCTATTTGTCAATATCAATTCGCTGTTCACTTTTTTTTATTTTTGCTGATTTCACTTTTTTATCATAGCATTTATTATTTTATCGCTAGTTCCCAATTCGTATCTTTTCTTGTCTCCCTTTGTATTTACTGCATAAAATTTGCCAATTTCAGTTGACCTACTTCTTTTCGAAGGTCAGCAAAGCCCTTGGGACATCCAGTAAGAAAACATATATTTGTCTTATTAAACTCAACTACATGACTCCTAATCATTATAACGTGTAGGAAATATCAAGTAGGTGCCAAATCCTTATTGCTTAGAAAGAATCATAAGTTGAAAAACTCTGCTTTAATTGAGGAAACATAGAGTGAAAGAGAGAGAGAGGTGGTGGGAAATTTTATTAAAGTTATTTTGAATCATATCGCAGAATGTCAAATGAAACCAATATTTTGAACTAATTTTTCTGTTTTATTTTTCTCTTTTCTTATATAAACATATCAACATACTTTTTGTTAAGCTGTAAACATTCCATTCAAGAAAATACAAAGTGACTGAATTATATAAGCAGACATATAATAAAATTTGATCAGCTGCCTAGATTTTTTACGGATATGTTATGTTCAGCCAATAGCCAACTGGATTTCTATTTCTCCCAACAATTTGCCAGCATTCGTATTTATTGATATTTCGAAAAAAAAACAACTATTGTGGATTTTCATTTTTTGTTTATGCAAATTGAGAATAGTGGGTGCTCTTGAATACAGCTTCTATTGTCTCGGTTTGTTATTGGGCATTCATGCGGCCGCTCTGTTATTACTCATACATAATGCATTGAGCTGGCTTTGACTGGCCTAGTCATGATAGTTCCGTCTTGCAGTTGCCATAAATTTAAGTGTCAATAGTTTGTCTAGCCTTTTACTTCACGCAGATTAACATTTTAATTATTATCGAAAAATTTTGTTTTGCGCCTTTCGTACAATAGGCGTACACACAATATGCCAAAATTTAAATTTTATTTTTTTTTCACTTGGCGTTGATTATATTGTCACTGTGCTGGAAATTTTACAGTTTTGTAGCCCATGTTATATTTGCTGCATTTTTGACAGTAAAACATGAACAAATTTTCCGCACCTCCTTTATCGTTATATATGGGATCGCAAATAAGGTGCACTTTTTGATATGTTTTGAATAGGTAATGTATTTAAAATATTTGGCAAATCAATTGATAACAGAGGTTTAACAACATATTAGTTATAAAGGATTCTAAATTAGAGACGATAGCGCAAACGACGCAGCACAGATGAGGGCAGATATGAGTTTTCTGGAATTTGAGCATTTATCTGACGATACTGTGGTGCCGAGGCGAAGTTTAGAGCTTTGGCCACGCCTCCATTGTGCGACTGGCTACTGCCTCCCAGAGAGTCGTACTGCGATTGGATGGCACGCTGAGCATTAGCCGCGTCCTCAGGCGTACGGTACTTGACGAAGTGCACCTCGGGCTTGTTGTTGGTGTTGCTGCGGATAGCATTTAGCTTGTTGGCCAGATCGCCGATATCAGCCTGTTTGTTCAGGACATAGATGGCGGTCTCCTGTTCGGCGGCCTGCTTAGCCAGAGCCAGAGCAGCGTTCTCCAGACCACGGTTCTCGGGTCCCTTGATGAAGACAACACGCAGACCCCTGTTCAGAGTGTTGGAAACTTTCTCCAAAGCTTGTGGCTCATCGAAATCATCCTCGTTAGCACTGAAGGTAAAGAACTCCTTGTTAAGCTCCGATGATGGAGCGGCATTGTAACTAACTGGTCCTTCTAGTCCAGAGCCAACTAGCCCAGAGCTTCCGAGTCCAGAACTACCAAGTCCAGAGCTGCCGAGTCCTGAGCTGCCAAGTCCAGAGCTGCCGATTCCAGAGCTGCCGAGTCCAAAGCTACCAGAGCTACCAAGTCCAGAGCTACCAAGTCCAGAGCTACCAAGTCCAGAGTTTCCGAGGTCAGAGCTACCGAGGTCCGAACCAATCAGTCCTGAACTGCCCAAGCTTCCAACGGATCCAACGCCTGAGCCTCCAAGGGAGACACCGCTGCCAGGATTGAATGAAAGTCCTGAACTTGAGTGTCCAACCGGCTGGTAGTTGTAGCCAAGCTTATCCGCACAGGCAACAGCCACAAGGCATAAGATGACAAAAACACGCATGTTTGGGGTTCTAGTTCTACTCGAAGCTGTGCACAGAATGATGTGGTCAAAAGGTGAAGTGCCATTTTTATACCCAGATGTATGTCATTCTGAGAACAATCGTTGAACAATCATACTATAAGATACTATCAAGATAAGGCTCGTCATATGTTGTTCCAATATGTTGTCGAACATGTTTATTTAAGGTGGCTTTAATTATTGACTGAAGCAAGCAGCAGCCGCCGCCGCGGCGTTGATTAAAATTTGATGAACTTCGGCTTACAAAGAAAATTTTTATGCAAATGGACAGCGCGTAGCGACGCTGGCAGCGCAGCCGACGTCGACCGAGTCTGAGTTGACTTCGACAGAGGCAGCTCCAAATTGTTTGGCTGTGCGGTAGCCAAATTCTTTTGTTAACTCATTTTGTTATGCAAATCGAGCCCGCACCGATTGAAAGTGAAACTCGGGCTAATGGCCAAAAATATTTGTATTTTCGGGGCAGTATGCGAGCTTAATAATATTAAATTGCTCGACGCTACACTTTTGGCCATTGTTTGTTATAGCTAAATGCAATTTGTCAGACAATTCATACGAAATCAATTGGTAAATATTCGTGGGCTGATTGCCTTCATCTTTGGATCTAAATAGCACCAGCACACAAAATATTTTAGTTGGCGGCAGCATAGAAAATATGTCGAAAACATAAAGTTATACTGTCACAGAACTTGTACTTCTCATTTGCAAATTCATACATCATACAGAGCTAATAGTTTGGCAACCTATTTAACCCGTTGAACCCGTTTTACTCACGTAAAAACCCAAATCCGTTTCGAAATTGAAATTCAAAACATTTTTATAAGCCCAAATTCTTGTGCGAAAGAATGTACAACCTATAAATAAGCTAAAAACTATTTCCAAATAGTCCCATTTAAAGTAATGGATCTAAATATACCCATTAAAACTAAATGAATTTAGTTAACTTTGTAATAATCATATTCTTAGAAGCTTACCCAAAATCCATTACGATTGCCTCTCAAAACAAAGCTGAACAACGGAAAGCAATAAAGAAATATTTTATAAGAGTTAAAAATTAGTTAAAGTAGAGTAGGAATGTGAGTAAAGTTACACATTGTAAAATTACATATTAAAGAAATAACAAGCTGTTTAATATGCAAACTTGCACTTGAATTCAAGATAATCACACAGATTTTAATAGCCCATTGAAAGGGCTTAAACATCATTTTAAGATAGTCAGCCATGATGACATATATAGTATGATATACCCACTTCGCCAAGCGAGTTTAAGGGTATATAAACAAACATCCGCCACTAAAATTAGAATTTGAATATTTGATACAACAATTTAATTTTTAAAACAATAAGTCAACAATAACAAAGATATTCGGTTACAACAAAAAAAACAGTTCACGATATTAGAATCGCAAGCGGCGCAAAATATTTGTGGGCAAATAAGTGCTGCCTGGAGTCACAGGGGGAATGTATGAGGAAATAGGCTCCGTGGCTATCGGCTGAGCAATCTGTGAAGCTGGCTCCGAAGCCACTGGACTAGCAGCAGGCGCTGGATTACTGGCTGCAAAATTGAGAACAGGTGCAACGCCTCCATCCTGGTGGGTAGATGCTCCACCTAGCTGGTCATATTGTCCTTGAATAGCTTTTTGAGCATTGGCAGCATCCTCAGGAGTGCGGTACTTGACAAAATGTACCTCAGGCTTATTGGTGTTGCTGCGGATAGCATTCAGCTTGTTGGCCAAATCACTGATGTCGGCCTGATTGCTCAGGACATAGATGGCGGTCTCCTGTTGACCAGCCTGCTTGGCCAAAGCCAGGGCAGCTCGCTCCAAACCATTATTTTGGGGCCCCTTGACAAAGATAACACGCAGCGCTTTACTCAACGAATTCGATACCCGTTCCGATGCAGCCGGATCCTCAAAGTCGTCCTCATTCGCCGTATACGTGAAAAATTCTTTCTGCAGCTCGGGTTTTGGAGCAGAATAGTTTGAAGCATCTGCAGATGGTTCAGCAATAGGTCCGATTGGCTGGAAGTTGGATTCCACACGTGAAGACTGAGCTAAGCCTGCGTTATCAGAACCATCATCTGCGCCGGGCTCTGCTGAATATGAGGGCGACACATTGCTGGCAGAACTGCCCGGCGCAAATGAAAGTCCAGAGCCAGAATGTGCCACGGGCTGGTAATTATAGCCGAGCTTGTCGGCTGCAGCTAAAGCCACGATACAGCAACAGAGAACCACGGCAAAATGTCTCATGTTTAATTTGTTTGAGTCGGATGCAGCATATGATGCCTTAGACGATGGCTTGATGGTTTTTATGCTAGTTCCTATGTGGAGCATTTACCGTTATGCAAAACGATTGAATAAATGGTCAAATTATGCAAGAGTTCTTTTCCACTGCCGGGTGCAAAATATGCAATAGAGCAAAAGCTCCAAGAGTTTATGGTTACCAACCCGGCATGAGATGAATATCTTGATAACGATGCCGTCACCGTCACCGACACCGACACCAACGCCATATATTAATTTCAATATTCTGTATTTAGCTATAATTCTCATTATTCATCTCTACTGTTTCTTCTTTTGAAACCTTGACGAAATTTTTCTGCTTATCTGCATAATCAGTAAGCATCGAGCTTTAATGAGTAGGTTGTTGGTAGACTAGCTTATGGATCGTAAACTAAATCGGTGCAATATACTTATCTATTCACGAACTCCAATGCAATAAATACGGGATTTGAAGTTTTACCCAAAATGAAACAAAATATTCAGATGAGGCGTGCCCAGTCGCGCTATTCAAAAACTTTTAACGATCCGCGAAATTATTATTGTCTTTTTGTGAGGCTTCGAAGTGACTTTGCGGCTTTATGTGCTGCTTTATGCTAATATTTGCGGGTGGTGGTGACCTTCTGAAGCCGGTAACAGATGTGGATATTGAATGGCGCCGGAAGTGCCAACGGCTTCATCGCTAAAAATAAAAACTATTTTTTTTAGCGATTGATTTTCAAATTAGCTGCTCGAACTGCAGCCCGATGTCATCGGTAAATAAGATAACTCGATAATTGGATATTTAATAAATTACTTGGCGCAGCTTATTTGTTAATTAAGGCCTACACTTGGCTCCTCTTTTCTCATTTACATATCGACTTCGACAGAGGCCCTTCATTTACAAAAGATAAATACGACATATTCAAAATGCTTGTCTAATTACTTTGCAGCTATAAATGTAGTTACTATACGTGGTGTGCACAGTAGAATTGGTCATTTGGGAAACTAGGTGGCTTAGCTGCTGGCAGCCTCAAAAGAGCAGTTTGCATACGTCTGGAAGATCTCTAAAGGCTTGGGCCTCGTAAAAGACTCCTGCCTTAGCTGCTGAGTTAGTGGAGTTCATTACCACCAATCAATTGGATTTCGATGAGTCCCAAACTTGAAATTTCACTAAACAGCGGGCCGCCTAACAGCATACAACAAGTGACATCGAAGACTTGACCATCGTCCGCATCAACACTAGCAACGAAGAACAGCACTCCTTTGCATACAAGTCATCAAAAACAACTCCCTGCAGAAGACAGCGACCATATGATCAAACTCTAGTCTTTATTCGCAAAAACACCACTGAAACTATAACTTCCGGACCCAGCTGCCTTTTCTGCTAACCTTCTCCGTCACTTTCGCTTTTCAATTATACAAGGCTAGTTGATACATTTTGTTTGTAAAATAAATACGAAATATTAATTTCTTTTAATTTTTTATATCTGTTTAAATTAGGAAAATAGTTACTGAATATCTAAAATGCTTGAAGATATTTAAATGAAAGCGAAAATTCAATTTTTGTACTTATCGGAGATTTTACAACGCAGTAATTTACCAAATTATCAGTTCTATTCATTTACCATAGTCAAGAATTGATTTTTTATAATTCCTTGATATTGATATTTATTTTATGTTAAAATATATATTGTAAGGATTTATTAGTACAACAATTAATTTACGTGGGGTTTATGCTAAACATAATAAACTAAACTAAACAAAAACATTTAATTTTTTTAAAAAAAGCTCTTTTCTATAAATATATGCTATGCCTCTAAAAACAACACGTTTTAATCTGATGTCGATACTTCAACATGTATTGAGCTAGTTCAATAACCGAGCCATTACCCAGTCAACGGCTTTCAATCAATTCACAGCCAAAACATTTCTTCCGGTAAAATGCTAAAACATAAAATTATGTGTCGTCATGCATAACTTATCGTAAGCGGCACATTCAAAAGCTTTTAGCAATGTTCTACCCTTTCCAAATGTATTAATTATTGTACGGACATTTGTGTGAATGCGGATACTAAAATGGATAGAATAAAACTTGCTAGTTAGGATGCCTTTGAGCTAATTGGATATGGTTATAGTTTCAAGAACAAGTTCGATAGTTCTGAAGTAATTTCACTACTGACTCCAAATACCAATGTTGAGTGGCGAGAACTAGCACTAATAACCGGTCCCTCGTTCCCGTGCTCCCGAGCTCGGAAAGTTGAAATGCTTGTCTAGTTAGATAGTTTAGCATAATCACTTTATAAGCGCACTACTTTGCATACAAGACCCGTTGAATTATGTGCCAGTAAAGAATCCATCCATTGTTCTTAACGCGATCCCACTCCGACGACCGTGTATAAAAGGCCCGTCGCAAAGTATCAGGATTCAGTCTTAACCATTAGCGGTTCAATACACATATCTCTCACATTTACAATGCGTTTTCTTATCGTGCTCTGCTTGTTTGGCGCTGCATGCGCGCAATATAATTATGGACAAGGACTTGACACTGGCTCAGCCAGCCACATCATTCCGAGTGTTGGAATTGATGATGGCGCTGAGAGCATTTCCAGCCCATCCTACGGTCCATCCGGAGGTCTTAACAAGGAGTTCTACACATTTGAGGCTAATGAGGACGATTTCAACGATCCTGCTGCCAGCAATAGAATTGCAAACAACGCCAACAGGGGTCTGCGTGTAATCTTCATCAAGGGACCCGAGAACCGTGGTCTGGAGAACGCTGCTCTGGCTCTGGCCAAGCAGGCTGCCGAACAACAGACTGCTATCTATGTCCTGAACAAGCAGACCGACATCGGTGATCTGGCCAACAAATTCAATGCCGTGCGCCAGAACTCCAATGCCAGGCCCGAGGTTCACTTCGTCAAGTACCGTACCCCTGAAGATGCCGTTAACGCACAGCGCGCTATTCAGTCACAGTATGACTCTCTGGGTGGTACTTCCCAGAACATCAACGGCGGAATCGCTCCAGCCATCAATTTTGCATCCCGTGGCTCTACTGGACCGTCTACCGTTAATTACGGTTCCCCAAGCGTTCCTAATAGTTCCTACTTACCAGCCAACATTCTTAAACGTCTTCGTCTGCGCTAGAGGATTAATGTTGCGGTCTAATTTCGCCGACGACGCTGGACTATTGTTTTTGTTTCCTCCATTTTACGAACACACAATAAAATAAACCAAATGAATTAAACATAAAATTACAAACATTTTGTTTTCGGCTTTGCTTAACATTCAGATTTCTTTTGCCGCTCTGCGCAAAAATATTGCATTTTTATGCTCACGATTTTGATTTTTATTACTTTCCTTATAATATCTTTTATGCAAAGCCGAATTGTCGCGCCAGGCGCCGAGACAAAAGAAGAACGCTGCTTCTTGTATGCGGAAAACATTTTGCGACGTCGCCGCATTGTGTTTAACGAGAAACCAAGCTAACAGCCTCGAAGTCAGATTTGTATAAATATTATCCGCGGTAGCGGTATGAGACAGAAACCAAAACAGCCTCAAAGCAAGAGAACATAATCAGCAGAAGCAAGATGCGTGCTTTCATCGTAAGTTTATGCAACTCAAACTAAAGGATATACTAACGGACCAATTTTCCCTGCCATTAAAATAGGTTATGTGCCTGATCGCAGTTACCTGCGCCGATAAGCTCGGATATAACTATCAGCCTGTTGGACACTCCGGCTCAGGATTATCATTCAATCCAGGCAGCGGAAGTGGAGCGGGACTTGACAGTGGCTCACTAAGTAGCTATGATAGCGGTTCCAATGGAGGTCTAGGGGGTATCTCTCTGGGTGGACTAAGTGGCGGCTCAAGTGATTTCGATTCCAATCTTGGCGGTAGTAACATTGATGGTGGCAGTATTGGCAACGAAAACCTTGGTGGTATCGCCGGTGGTAGCCTCGGTGGTCTGTCTGGAGGTAACCTCGGCGGTCTGTCCGGAGGTAATTTGGGCGGTCTCGCCGGGGGCAACCTCGGTGGTCTCGGTGGGGGCAACAGCGGTGGCTTGTCTGGCGGTAATCTCAATGCTCCCGTCTCATACAACGCACCTGCCCCAGCTGCTGAATTACAGAAGGAATTCTTCACCTACACCGCCAATGAACAGGACTTTGATGAGCCACAAGCTTTGGATAAGGTTTCCAACTCTCTGAACAAGGGTCTGCGTGTTGTCTTCATCAAGGGGCCTGAAAACCGTGGTCTGGAGAACGCTGCTCTGGCTCTGGCTAAGCAGGCCGCCCAGCAGGAGACCGCCATCTACGTTCTGAACAAGCAGGCCGACATCAGCGATCTGGCCAACAAGCTGAATGCCATCCGCAGCAACACCAACAACAAACCCGAAGTGCACTTCGTCAAGTATCGCACTCCTGAGGATGCTGCCAATGCACAGCGTGCCATTCAAGGACAATACGATCAATTGGGAGGTTCATCTCAGTCTATCGATGGTGGTGTTGCTCCCGCCTTAAATTTCGCTTCTCGAGGACCAGCTCGTCAGGTGAATGCTCAGAGCCCTGATAACTCGTATCTGCCCTCATCGGTGTTCCGTCGCTTGTAAAGTGTTCCTACAGTACCCCTAAAGCTGTGCTAGCTCTAGTGACTGCTTGTTGAATAATTCTATTAATTGTTGATTACATATAAATGAATAAAATAATGTTCGAACCTTAAATATATTGTTTTATATAATAATTTATTCTTGTATCACTTCTAAAACCTGTAGTACTGAAATGGTTAATAATATTAGGCAGACTTCACTTAAGTAAGAAAGACGAATGTTTTACAATAGAAAAACAGTCCGCAATATATATTGAAAACTGAAATGGTTATCCACTTTGTTGTTGACATATACATAAAAATATTACAGCAATATGTGTATAATATATAATAAAACTTTATAAATGAAATTTACACTGTTAGTGTCTATACTCGCCGGAAAGTACTGGATATAAGTAGAGATATAATATTATATAATGATCTAGCTCGGTATAGCTGCACTGCCCGTTACTTTGGTTACATTGGTGTATATAGTCATATCGGAAAAATGTATCTTATAGAGGGAATTTGAAAAATAATTTTTTAATATCAATATTTCTAGTTTTAGACTGTAATCAAGTTATATGAAGTTGGTTGTAATGTTCTTACCTTTCTTCAGGAATACGGCATTTTTAATTAAAATTAAATATTATACATATTATGTTAAGACAAATTATTAAGTAAATTTCGTATGCTTAGCTCTTACAAGACTGATTCTTCTGTGTAACATCAGAATAGTAATTAATATAAATATTATTTAATTGGAGTACATTTAGCAATAGCCAAATATAATTTTTTTGAAGAAACTTTAGCATTAGCTTAATCAAAGAAAGCACTAAATCAACTAAAAAGAACGAGCCAAATCTGATGCACTAAAGCATATAGAGTGTTTTCAGTCTCAACGCTAAATGGACTCTTAAAATATGACCTGATGTCATACTTATTAATCAATATCATCAAATATAGCTAATCGAAATTCCCATCAATGACTCAAAAATATATGTCCTACATAAAACAAGCTTGTAGCCTTGCAGAAATATTTAGAAAAAACATTTATTTTAGATTTATAACAGATAATTATGACCCATCTTTATAGCATCAATATGCATATAAAGTTTGTTCAATGTGCTCACCACATATTAATTTTATAATTTTATATTAATTCTTGTAAAAATTATTGAATAAAAAACTCGAAAATTTGAATAACCTAAAACAATCAGCCGTAGTCGCAGTCGCAGCCATTGCCCATTGAAACGCAACAAAAATTCCAAATCGACCATAAAACTGTAGAGTTAAAATGCTTTGTAGGCGGCAAAACACAGTGGCATCAAAGCGATTTCTATGCAAGCGACACCGAGGCGGCAGTTTTGTGTTTATCAGCTTCGAAGATGGATTTGTATAAATAATAACCACTGCTCCAAGCAGAAGACAGAAGCAATTCGTAGCTCGAGGTAGAAGAACCAAAAAAGAAATATTTGACATTAAGATGCGTGCTTTTATTGTAAGTACAAAGGATCTGTAGCTGGATATATCATTTATTCTGTAAACTCCTAAAGATTATGTGCTTGGTTGCCGCTGCCTGCGCCGATAAACTGGGATATAACTATCAGCCCGTTGCACGTTCAAACATTGGAATCACCGGTGGCTATGTGGGTGGAAATGACGGTAGCGCAATAAGTGGCCCTCTGATTGGAGGTGACGATGGCTCTTTGAATAGAATTGGCGGTATTGGTGGACTTGTCCCCAACCTGTCCCCCGGCTCTATTGATGCTCCAGTCTCTTACACCCCCCCCGCCCCAGCTGCCGAATTGGAAAAGGAGTTCTACACCTTCACCGCCAACGAAAATGACTTCGATGAGCCACAAGCTTTGGATAAGGTTTCCAACTCTCTGAACAAAGCTCTGCGTGTTGTTTTCATAAAGGGACCCGAGAACCGTGGCTTGGAGAACGCTGCTCTGGCTCTGGCCAAACAAGCCGCCCAGCAGGAGACCGCAATCTATGTGCTGAACAAGCAGGCCGACATCAGCGATCTGGCCAACAAACTGAATGCCATCCGCAGCAACACCAACAACAAGCCCGAGGTGCACTTCGTTAAGTATCGCACTCCTGAAGATGCAGCTAACGCACAGCGCGCCATTCAAGGACAATATGATCAGCTAGGTGGCTCCTCCAAGGCTCTTGATGGTGGTGTTGCCCAAGTATTGAACTTCGCATCCCGGGGTCCCGAACGTCAGGTGACTGCCCAAAGCCCCGACAACTCATATCTGCCCACATCGATCTTCCGTCGTCTGCGTCGTTAAATTAATGTTCAGTTTAATTATATACTGACAAATGTTGTGAACTTTATTAATACCAATTGTTGACTATTGCATAAATTCAAAAATAAATATGAAATAATTTTAAATCGAAATTTTACATTGTCTACTTAATGGGAGTACACCTAAAACACAAACTAACAAAGCTATTATGCTTTAATTAAAAGAGAATAGCTACGGGAAACCGTCTTAAATAACACATACTTAAAAATAACTAGAATTTCGGAATAGTTTACTTTGCAGAGATGTAAATAATTAAATTCGATCCACCAGCTTATGTTAAATGGATCTCTTATATTACTGGAGGTCGTTTGGTAAACATAAACCGTTAGGTGACCTGATTTTATTGTCACCTTGCCGTGTGCCAAACACAATTAGAAAGGAATTTTGAGAGTCGAACAAACAAACAACACCTAACACCACATATGAGGAACTCTCAAGATTTACTTTGACCAAAACCTGTATACTATAAGAGCAAAAGAAACGAATTCAATCATTAATTTTATTGTGCTGACGATCACTTTTTTGATAATATCATTATATTAATATGCGATTCTGTATATCCGAAATATAACGAAAAAGTCTGTCGTTTGGACTTGAGTTAGCTGAATTCTATGCATAAATTATAGCCCAATTATGGGTGAATCACGATCAGCCAATCGCCAATCGGAAACAGACGCGACAGCGTCGACATCGGCGGCACGATTGAAGCTGCTCAAAACAATGTGCTAAATGTGTTAAGAGCGAAATTATGTTAGCAGATTAACAACATTCCAAAAACCAGCTGGCCAATCACCAGTCACGAATAGTTGTTGTAGACGTGGTCGTGGTCATAGTCGTGGTCACAGTCGTCGTCTGGCTCCGATCGGAGTCGGGGTCTTCAGCTAGCGAATGGCCGGACGCATCAACAAATAGCACAATAGAGCGAGACGACTTAATTCAGTTAGATCAACTAGGCTAAATATAGCAACTGGCAGCGTTGGCGGTATAAAAGCTATGTTAATATAGAGAGGGCCAGCATTCTAGCAGAACCGTAGAAACAGGCAAGATGCGTGCTTTGATTGTATTGTATTTAACGGCAACAGTTAGTGCCGCTCGCTTGGGCTATAACTACAGACCCGGCAGCACGGCCATTGTCACCGATGCCATTGACAATACTGCCGGCTTGGTATCTGGTCTAGGTGGCCCAGTAAGCTACAACGTGGCGCCCCAAGGCGGCATTCATAAGGAATTCTTTTCATTCCGTGCCAATGAGGCAGACTTTGACGATCCTGATGCAGCACGAAAGATAGCTGCTGCGGTTAAAAAGAGCGTGCGTGTAATCTTTATCAAGGCTCCGGAGAATCGCGGCTACGAGAAGGCTGTCCTGGCTCTGGCCAAACAGGCTGCCGAGCAGCAGACTGCAATCTATTTGCTTCACAGGCAACCCGACCTCGACGAATTGGCAAACAAATTCAATGCCGTGCGTCAGAATGCGAATGCCAAGCCCGAGGTGCACTTCGTTAAGTACCGCACCCCCGAAGATGCTGTCAATGCACAAAAAGCTATCCAGAGCCAATATGATTCGCTTGGTGGCACTAGTCAAAACATCAACGGTGGCATCGCCAATGCCCTCAACTTTGCATCCCGTTCATCGTCGCCTGTCCGCAATGGACAGATCCAGGAGCCCGACACCAATTACTTACCGTCATCAATTCTGAATCGTCTGCGCCATAAATAGAGAACTTAGTGAAATTATATAAATAATTAGGGAATATTAAATGCTGATCGATTTGTTAAATAAAATTAATAGGCTTTGCTAACTTTTTACTTTTACTTTTAGTGCACAAAATGAAAATAAAATCTGAATTATAAGAAGAGAATAGGAATTTATCTCATTGAGAAAACAGTTTAATTTTTACGAAGGACAGCATCATCTGACCAAATTTTATGTTCATCATCCTTAAGGTATATATATATATAAATATATACATGTTTTAGTAATTAAATATATATTTTATCATTTGGTTTGTGAGATAAATCTGTATTATACACTTTTACTTTATGCCTTCCCCAATAGATGATTTGTTTATTGACTTTTTCTTAGAGAATTATCTTTAAAAACTCTAACTGTGTTCTACAATACATTCTTGAGAGAATATATTGGAATCCGATTTTTAGTTGAATATATAACTTATATACGTCACATAAAGTAACTTTATAGCTTAGTGAGATATGTCAGGATAATCAAGATTCCAAATCATAAACTGAATGTTTGACAAATTGTTCCTATGATAATTCTTATCGTGTAATCTTTAAGAGTAGACATTATATTTTGCTAAGATATCAATAAATAAATACATAAAATAAAAAACCAATTTGTAAATGCAAGGACATAAGTGTAGATTATTACTTGATCAAACTCAGTCTCAGATACGGATTACCAGCAAGAAACCCAGACACTTATTATCGTTGTCTTTGCTGCTTCTCGCTATCCATATTAGCGAATTGAACACAAAACATAATTATTAATTTCTCAGTAAAACCGTGAATAAGACTAAGTTTGGTAAATGCATTGATTCAGAAACTAAATTGTCCTACGCCTCTGTGAACCAAACAGTTTCCAAATATTTCTGAGTAATTAATATTTAATAAAATAAATTAAAATACTCATAAATTTCAAATAAAATGTAGGAAAAGAGAATTTATTTAAGTATTATTCAACAAAAACTAGGTTAAAAATCAGTCAAAGATCGCTGTCATTATCATTCATTTGATCTAAATCTAACATTAAATTTAGACACGACGGAAAATCGAGGTGGGCAAGTAGGCATTATCGGGCGACTTTGCGTTAATCTGACGAGCCGGACCCTGGGAAGCGAAGTTGAGAACAGGAGCAACACCTCCATTGTGAGACTGGCTGGATCCGCCCAAAGAGTCGTATTGTCCTTGAATGGCACGCTGTGCATTGGCAGCATCCTCAGGAGTGCGATACTTGACGAAGTGCACTTCGGGTTTGTTGTTGGTGTTGCTGCGGATGGCATTCAGTTTGTTGGCCAGATCGCTGATGTCGGCCTGCTTGTTCAGAACGTAGATGGCGGTCTCCTGCTGGGCGGCCTGTTTAGCCAGAGCCAGAGCAGCGTTCTCCAGACCACGGTTTTCAGGCCCCTTGATGAAGACAACACGCAGACCCTTGTTCAGAGAGTTGGAAACCTTATCCAAAGCTTGTGGCTCATCAAAGTCCTGTTCATTGGCGGTGTAGGTGAAGAATTCCTTCTGTAATTCAGCAGCTGGGGCAGGTGCGTTGTATGAGACGGGAGCATCGAGATTACCGCCAGACAATCCACCGATATTGCCACCGGAGATACCACCGAGGTTGCCTCCGGAGATACCACCGAGGTTGCCTCCGGAGATACCGCCGAGGTTGCCTCCGGAGATACCACCGAGGTTGCCTCCGGAGATACCACCGAGGTTGCCTCCGGAGATACCACCGAGGCTGCCTCCGGAGATACCACCAAGGTTTCCGCTGCCACCTCCAATCAATGCACCACTTATTCCATCTCCAATGCTGCCTCCCCCAATTCCTGGGCTGAAGGACAGTCCAGAGTCAGAGTGCCTCACTGGCTGGTAATTATAGCCCAGCTTATCGGCGTAGGCGACTGCCACAATGCACATAACCTGCGCGCAGAAGAAATGATTGAGGTAATCCTAAATGAGGCTCGTAGTTAGTTCCTGGATACTTACAATGAATGCACGCATCTTGAATTTTACTGAAGTTCTTTGAGTTTAACTGTTAGGTTGTATCTGACGTTTGAAGCACTATTGTGTCTACTATTTATACGAAAACAACCAAACTGTGTCACTCGACTGCGCTCAAGTTCATGCAGAGACCGAGCCGCGATGGTCGTTGCTGCTGCTTCAGCTGCTGCTGTTGTGGCTGCTGCCGTGCAGTTGTTGTTATTGTAGTCGACACAGCGGTATCTGCTGTCCCTCTCAAAGCTCGAAGCATTTAGCATTAACTTCTTTTGCTGCTTTTGTCTATTGATTGAACAGCGAGCCCTGAAAGACGAACCAAAGCAATAGAAACAATGTCAACAATGTTAACGTCGTAGCGCACCTCTAACAGGCCTATTCTTGCAAATATCGCTGTCTGCACTATGCAAATGAGCTACAGCCCTTGCTCAAGAGAGTCGCATTGGTAAACCAACTAGGGACGAGATTACGACCAGGCTCAGCATTGGCATTGGCATTGCCATCAACAAAACGAGTTAAGATAATTTCGTGTGTTTCACTATGATTTTAATAAAAGAAATTATTTTCTTCATACATATTTGTATGCAAAAAATGTGGATGGTGCCGATCGATGTCGATACTGGTGGATTGGCGGCGCATCAAAACAAGTTCGAGACGATTAAAATTCCGAGTCGGGTAAGTATATATTTTGAGATAGTCTGCTGCGGAGATTTCTAGTTTGGAAATTCCCAATCGGTTATGGCGACTAGTTTTGGTATAAATTTCAATCTTTGCAGTAAAATCTATCGAGTTACATTCAAAGGAATGTAAATAAAACAATGGCATCAACATCTATAAGACACTCGGAGCCACGAACAGAAAGAAATATTCGAATCTTTTGAGTTTTTTGCGCATCCGTTTAGCCCTCAATGCTGTTTGTTGTTTGCCCGATAGGCAGTCGGCCAAAATATAAGACATAAAGTTAACAAGCGTTGCGACCTTGACGTTTTAACTGTTCGTCACCTGAAGCTATGCGACGGTAATCAGCTGGCGCCAGGCGACGACCATTTAATCTGATCAGCGATTATCACGTTTTCATCATGCTTTATTGATATCATAAAAATTATTGTTTTTGACTCTTTGAGCCCTGCTATAGATAAATAAATGCCAACAACATATTTGAAATTGAATCCATTTGCATAATAAAATGTTTTCAGCATTAAAATTCGAAAGATCCATAACTAAGATAACTGAATAGATTTGCAAATCATCGGCGCCTCAAAGATGCATATCAATGATAATTTTAGCTATGACTAATCACAGAGTGGTCTTTTTAGCATACATATACCAGCATCTTTCGCATTATCGAACCGGTAAGCTCTGATAGCCTTAACTACTATTAATGGACTGTGTAAATTCTTTTGTGATTCTCATCAATTTCCCTTTCCATTCATGACTTCGCAAATTGTTTTTGTCTTCTTTTGACCACACTGGAAAAGTTGTCAATCAGGCCTCAGAGTCGTAGCCACAGCCTAAACACAAAAATAATTTGTCTTTGTTTTGTTTACGACTCCGCCCAGACCACTAAGCCATTCAGTCTGCTGCGCTGCTCTCTGATGGCATGCTCGGCATTTCGGCTGCTGCTGATGCTGCCGCTGCCACCGCCTAGCGCTGGTGGCAATGTCATATGCAAACTAAACAAATGTAAACATATTAAAATAAACCAGCTACAATTTCAAGGTCTCGGGCGCCACACGCACATCAAAGATGCAAGCAGCGACAACATAAAAACAAAAACACAAAAGCTGAAAAAAAAGAGAAAAACATAAATATAAAAAACAGGCGCCCTATACTACGCACAAAAACAACAATTGATATTAGCCGTTGGACAACTTCGCAGCGTCCATAAATGAATAAATTGTAGCCAACCCCGGGACCGAGCTGACAGCAGCGTTTTATTTTAATATCCCACAGGCCCGACGGGTCAATCGATCTAGTTTATCCAAACACTTTTCAAGCCTACTTAGCCTGCACAGATGAAACTGCAGTAATAAAATCTGAGTCAATAACTATAATTTAATTAATGCGATTCTTAGCAGGGGCAGACGAAGCCTTCATTTGTTGTCAGATATTAGTGAAAAATTTAATTACCACCTTGCTATAAATTGGAGCATTAGCTGATTCTCTAAATTCCTAAGTTTATCTAAAAATATTGCAAATCTGCTGTCATTAGTTGCTGCCAGTTTAACGAGTTTGTTTAGTTCTTTCATCGAATTTGCATAAATGTTTGAGCTGCCGCCAGTTAAGGACTTCTTTCAAGAACGTTTCCGCATGCCAAAAAAACCAAAGTTTTAAACAGCATCAAAGTGAATTTAAACAAATGCAAATTTGGCAAGCTTGGCATGCAAATAAATTGTGGCAATTATTGCAAGCCGCAATAAAAAAAAACCTAAAAAGCCAAAACGAGAAGTTAAGCTCATAAAATATCAAACTTTAATAACTCGTCACCTATGAATATAAAAAAAATCAAATCAAATTATTGTGTTTATTTATCTCTGCCCAATTTATCTGTCTATTTGCCATAACGGTCAAAGTATTTTGTGTAAACAATCAACTATCGACGACGACAACGGCTGATTGTTGGGCAAATAAGCGTAAAATTATTATCAACAAGATGAACATAAAAAATGAGACTACGGCGAACACATATTTTATAGCAATAAATCAGGCATAAAATTACCACAAACAATTGAGATCGACGTTAAAACGAATGCATGTACAACTAATAAATACCCCGTATACCGCGTAATAAGCTAACTTCGAATATCACCTTCAAGTAAGGAAGCACATAAATTCGCAGCTTATTGCGAGTGCCCCATCGCCCACAAGTAGGCAATAACTTATTTGTGTTGCCTGCTTGAGGACAGGGTCTTAGCCATAATCGCGACTAAGAGCATCTTGGCATTTAGTACAGTGTACGTACCATATATAGCTGACACATGTGGGCTGCTTTTTATTTTAATTGCAAACATGCCTACACATAATGCCCACACATAATGTCCTCGTCGTGCTATTCACGAAGCGGCGGCCCTTTCAAACTCATTTGCGCGTAAGGATTGTAGCTAAACAGCACTTTACGAGTGCTGGCAGAACCAACCAGTGCCAACACCAACAGCAACAACAACAAATGTGTAATGACAACAACTACATTGACAAGCAGCCAGCGAATTCTGCATGTGCAAATTGTCGTTTAATTTATTAAGCAACGAATACGACGGCTTTTAATATAAACATACAAAACATTAACTACACACATACACACGCACACAGAGCTGTGCAAATGTTCTGTAATTAGAAAATAAAGCACCCACTCACGCACATACACATGCATGTCAGTCTATTGTCATAAATTTGGACTCCAGTGTGTTTCATGAAAGATGTTCATGGATGGAGCGCAGTTACGATAAAAATAATACAATGTGGAATAAATAATCTCCCAATAGAGCGTCGCATCAGGTAAGGTTGCTGCATTTGGCCGTTGGCCTCTGGCCGAAAAACGGGTTAACAAACTAGACAACTTTTGACTTCGACTATCACCTGGTTGTTGGCCTTTTCGAGGCGCGCACACCCGTTATGAATTTTATGGTCAGATTGAACTTGAAGTTGGGACCATAGCTGATTTGCATTTCTAATGGATTCAATGCGTTGGAAAAGCTACGGACCAATCGACCGCAGATTATCACTTTAAGAATATAAGTTTTTAGTTTTCCATTTCAGAAAAACATATAAAAAAGACTTAAATATGTTGAAAGTACACATATTGATTTAAATTATTATATATGTTGATCGTAATACTCTCATAATAAGAGCTAATCTTTAAAGAAAATTTAATATTTTAAAGTAGCAAAGTTAAATTTAGTTTATTTACTTTGATAATTTGTGAAATATCTTTTAAAAAATGTTGTAAGTTGCTAGTAATTTGTTGTCATTTGCAGTGAAAACAAGCAGAATTAAATTCAATTTCTATTTAAATTAATTAATTCTAAGATTATATGGGAATGGTGAGAATGTTTAGTCTAGGTCTGGACACTTGTGGAAAATATTATTGTTATATTTCATTTACTTGGCAAGAATTATGCTAGTTACATAACGAATTCACGCTGTGTCAGCACAATTACCGAGAACCACCCACAGTGAATTTTCATTGTTTGTCCGCTGACTGTAATAAGGATTTTGAGCTTCCTCTCAGTCTCAGTCTTTCTCTAGCTTTTATTTGTGTAATATTTTCAGTAGACGGCAGCTCTGCAGCTTGTTATGCTGCGAGTGAAAGCACACGGTGCGTATACTTGATGTGAGCTTGCTTGCTTTTTTTAAATGGTCGTATTGAGTATTACTTTTGCTCACTATATAGCCTGCCCACAGTTGCTGTTTATGCGCCGTACATGACAATGAGTTCAGGATTCTTTCCAAAGTACGCGCTGCCCGTACTCGTCACGTCTAGAGGCTTTGGCTGAGCAGACGGATACACCCAGCCCTCAACTTACTGAGGTGCATATTAAGTGCTGCCATCATATAGTTATATCAAAAGTGACTTTGGCACGTGTGCCATTCGTCCGGCTGCCTGTCCACTTGACATCAACATCCCTTGCCAGCTATTTGATGAGCAGCCGATTCGAAGTGTGCCAAAATGGGAAAACTAGCAAACGATGTAATAACAATTCCTGAAACGTTGTTGTTGATGCTGCGATGTGGATCTTCGCGCGGTTTAATCAATCAGCAAAACGATGCACGTGTTTCTCTTTGACCAACCGCACGCGTTGCAAAGTCTGTTTAATTTATGATCTGGGTCAGCGACAAATATATGGAAATCGTGGTTTAACCAGGGACTACTGATGGAGAATTCATAAATTCTTTGCATAGGTTATGATATTTTATGAGCAGCACCGTGTAAGTAGCAAATGCCAAATACTTTTCTGTATTTTTATTCAATTTTTTTGTTTTCTGCGTACGTGCGCAGGTGACAGAGCTGTCAGTAGCTGCTGCCCGACCACCACCACGATGACAGTTATCTATGCGTACCAAGTGTATTGGAAGAGCAGGCATGGCAGGCAGGCAGGCAGGTATTGTTGGATATTTTTTGCTCTATCAATAAGCTTCGTCCAGGGTCACAGTTGGCTTGAACGTATTTCAGAGTGCGTCACGTTTCAAATTTATTACGCAAAATATTCTTCAATTTAGCGCGCCTTCCTTGTCTACGCTCGTAAACACCTCACCGCGACAGTGCTGACATTAGGCAAGCACCACATGCTGACAACAAATTTCAGTTTAAGTTAAGGCCAAGTTCAGAGCAAAAAAGAAACCAAAGACTACAGATGACTTTCTAATTGAGACAACTAATTTGAATATTCAATTTTTGGTTAATATATGCTAAATTCAAATATTTTCCTTAAAACAATCCATGTAAAAAATATATAAAAAAATATTTGCTATAGTTAAAAAGTTATCTACAAAGATGCAAGCCTTAAATATTTATACAGTCAATGAAGCTTGATAAAATCCCTACATGTTTTATTATTGAGAAACTGTAGGCCAAAAAACACAGAGCAGAAATCGCTTCTGAACGTTTCTGGCAATGTGCGCATGTAAGCCAGATCGGGTGTATGAAAAGGTGTCGACTGCCGAGCAAACGCTTATCAATATTTGCACAGTTTCAGGGTGCGAATTTTTTTTTTGGGGACTGCCTAAAAGGCAAATAAGAAATTCCAAAGTAATCAAAAACTCATTGTATTTCATCTCTCGCTCTCTGTCTCTCTCTCTTATATTTTCGGCTCCGGCTGTTTCTGTCTGAGCGGCTGGCAGGCAACTATATTTTTATGGTCGTGCTTTGGTTATTGCAAATTGCAAAAGCAAAACGCCTTCGCACACATTGCCACTTAACTTGGCATTCAATTGCCGTTAAGCTTTACCCACGCCTCACGCACACAAACCACACGCGCACCCACGAAGACACATACATTCGAAAAGAAAAAGAAGAACAACAACAATATCAGCATTGGCAACAATAAGTACGCCTAACGCGTTCGCCACGCCCCGGAAAAGTTTTTTAAAGAAATTTTGCTTTTGTGGCAAGAACATTTTTAGGTTTATAGTGGTTGCAGCGGCATTGACACTTGTTACAAATAGCCGCAATGCTATTTTGTATCTTGTTCTTGGTTTTCGTTGCTTTTTCTTTTATTTTTGTATTTTGAGTTTTGTGTATTTTCTCTGGTCGTTGAAGCGATTTTCTATTTATTTATATGAAAACTTTGACTGGCAATTTGCGAGTACATAAAAGAAATTTATTTTACGCGACGTTATTTTGTAAAGTAGCCACTTAAACCTAAATCGCACCAAGAACTCTATACTACCCTGCCGCACCCTATCGCACTGTTCATGCTCGACCTGACGGTACGTGACGCTGGCAAGTTTAATAAGCAGTTTTAAAAAGCGTTGCCTGCTTTTTAGGGCGCCCAGGCACTCAGTCCGTAATGAAACATCCGCTTGTCAGAGTAAAAGATAAAGCCTCCAAATTTATTGCTCACCGTGAATATTGCAGCTGCGATTGCGCTCGAATTTGTGTTATTTGAATTTGATGTAGCTTCAAGTATTTGATAAGTGAATGCGGGAGATTGACAGACGGTAATGACTTTATTAATGGCAGCTGAGACTTACTGCGACTTACTTTGCAGCGAAGACGACGACGGCAACGAGAACGATGAAAACGGCTGTCTGTTCAGAAAACTCGTCCTTCGATTGCTCAACCTGTTAGTCGTTAGGCACTTCGGGTTGTTGCCTTTGAGCGCAAGGTAAATATAAATGTATTGATCCAAGCAATTAGCGTTAATTGAGTAAATAAACAATATTTCAACATGCGTTCTGCCACATAAAAATAAAGCTAATGGCCGAACAATGACACCAAATTGTCGGTCTTTGCAGCCGTTAGTGTTTGTATCTGTGTCTGTGGCCTGGGTTTTTGTGTCTGTCATGGCATTAAAGGAAATACCACAAGGGAAAAGAAAAATAAAGAGCATCATTAAGTTTTGCAACTGTTTCAATTATCTTAAAGTTTCAAGCAACTGCGGAAGAAATTCAAGTTAAGGCACGAGAAGAACTTAAGTAACAAGTATGTACAAGGCTAGTTGTCATAAATGCAACTAAATCAAAGCTACAAGATGGTCACTTCAGAGTGCTTGTTTAGCCCCTTGAGTTCCCGCAAACTCCACTTGTCTGCACTTGAGTTACAGCCACATTGATGTATTTTATGTGCGTGCTAGCCTGAGCTGGAGCGTGAGACGGGCATGATAAACAGGGACGTGCAGAGAAATGACAAGTACAATAGGGCGTACTTTATATGCAGACATGGACAGCAGATTGAGAGACAAACTGGGCAGTGAATCGAGTCGGAGCTCTTTTAATAACATTCGCACTGCTAGACAAGCCAGCTTCTCTACTTTCTGTTTAGAATGCAACGGAAAACTTTGCGGTTGCTCAATTTTAAAACAACACTAAAATTGTAACAAAATGAATTTTTATGATATGCAAATGAATGTAATATTCTGTATGTACGTGGGCACGCAGAGTACGGCACACGCGGCCATATGCAAATTTTCATTAAAATGTTAAGCTCAACTGTTTTTCCAACATGTTTGGGGTTGTCCATTTGTGCATATGTTATAAGTCAATGCTATAGCAAAACGCAATTAAATTCAGTTGCACAACCAATCCTCACTTGAGTATCAATTCAAGGCGACACATCTTTAATATTCAATTCGTAATATAATAAAGGTTTTCTATCTCAGCGCCACACTTCGGCTTTTATTCCCCCAGGCACACGCAGCTCTTAAAGTTGCGTGGGTATTCCGCCTATTCGAACAGTTGCTCGACGTGTGCGCACATGAGTTTGAGAAAATGAAGGAAAATATTGCGTATAAAATAAGGAATCACTGGGTCGCATAAAATGTGAGTGCTGCGCACTTTCGTTGTGCGAGGGCGCCTTTAAATCGTTCTTCACAACCACTAAGTAAACCCAACGATAAGACCCACAAATAAACCGTACAATGCGACTGTTAAGTGCGCATTGCAAATGCGGTTGAGCAAGGCTAACAATGCGAAAAACGAATTTGATAAATTGAATTAAAAATTGAGAATTTATGATAATAATTTAAGCAAATTGCTACTGTTGGCAAATCAGCTCACCAAGTGACCGAGTTACAGAAGAATTCAAATGCCCCGAATAACGGTTACTCAAATGCTGCAGGCACATCACAAAATTTCTATACTCAATATGCATAAACACGTATTTAATTTAAGTGACATACTCATATTTAGAATTGTAAGCAAATATTTTGGCCTATCTAACTTATTCTTGTTTCATTCATAAAACATTGTGCCTGAACCCATATATCATGTAAATGTCAGCAATTAGGACACTTTTGACAACAAAAACAATGTAATTTATGAATGACATTACAGGTAAGCTTCAACTGGCTATTTTGCAAATGTATACCGGAAGCAAGTAAAATGAGTAGATGTGTTTTATTGCACGTCAAGAGCAGCTGCATGCTATTAAAAATAATTAAAAGGCAGGTGCTGGGCAAGCTTTGAAATATTTGGCAAGTCCTGCCCAAGCCCAAAACCATGCATGCCTTTGAGTTGACGGCGCATGCAGAATGTAACCGAGTAATGCCCAAGATCATGCTTGTGCCCACATCCACATCCACGTCCATGTCCACTTACACGTCCACGCCTATTGCAGCTGACTTGCAACCAGAGCTCCAACAATTTTGGGGCAAGAAAAACAAATGAATTTCATTTCCGGCAAATTTGTACCAGAGCAAAAAGATTGCTAGCCGCAAATTCCAGCGACGAAAACTATGAAAATTGCTAAACTTAAGTTCTCTGACAACTTATTTGTTAGCGTCGCGTCGCAGAGCTGTAAAAGCCGCAACTAATTACAACAAAATTGTCATTAGTTTCAACTTGTCGGCCGCACAACGAGCAAAGTTTTTGTTCATGTTTTGCCACTTAGTTGCTGGTAGGGCGAGGTTGGGATTTCTCTGTGGCAGCGCCGCCTTCGCCATTGCCATTTTTTTCGCGTTTCCGTTTCCGTTGCCGATGCGCAGCCGTTTGGAACCGTGCCAGCCCAACATGCACTTGACTTTTATGGAAGCAACGGGAGCCAAACGACAAGAGTGGAACGGATGCATTTATAGAGTCGTGCAGCCGGTATCCTGCAATTGAATGGCCACCCCTGTCTGACTGGCAACAGTTGGCATTGACCATATTAGCGTGCCTCAGCCTGTGCAATTCCATAGTCGCGGGGACGAAGGCGTTGGCGATGGCGATGGCGAGGGCGACGGCAATGGCTAGTTGACAAATGAATTATGCTCAAAGGGAGGTGCAACAAGTTATGAGTTTCTTGTTGCCTTGCCATGTTTCTCTTGGTCCTCAAATATAATAAATGGAAACCTAATTTTTTGAAATGCAATTACTTTATCAACTGCATAGCTCGTATTTATATATGTGTGGATAATTGATTAAAATATAAAAGTTAAAAAAACACTTTACAGAGCGCATATTGACTCACTTTCCAGCTACTTTTTTATATGCGCTTGACTTCAGGGCTTTTAATTAAATAAGTATACCGTTGTCCTACATTTTATTGGTATTTTACCTTCACATACGTTCTATTTACCTTTAGCCATTCTAAGAGTTATTTTAGGAATTTTATGTGATTGACTTTTCCTCAATTATTCATGAGTCAACTTGACCTAAATATCATTCGTTAAGTGTTCCTCCATCTTTGCTAAGTTAAACAAAATTATTTCGATTTATATGCAAATTAAATTTCTAGCTTTCTTTATTGTAGCTGCTTTTTTTAAAAGTTTGAAAATTTAAAAAAAGGCTTCACTTATTTCATTTAATTTCGCTTTTGTTTCATTTGCCTTAATATTAGAGATGACAGCGTTCACTCGATCAACATGATTTATATAGCATACAAAAAGTTGCAGAGTAATGCAGTTGAGGATGGGCGAAGCGTTGCGTTTATCTGCACGCAGCCGGCACAACATGCTGTGACCCATATACGAAGGCTTAAAGAAGCAAGCGGGTTAAGAGTTGGCAACTGGAGGCAACTGAAATCAAACAAAAAGTTTAGATGTTGAAAAATGGGAATGGCGGCTGCTGCTTACAAGACAAAGAATTCTCTTAGCCCTGTGTAGGCAGCAGTTGCAAAACTTCTTTTATCTTTGCTATGGCTCGCATATAAGGACGACGCACCGGGTACAATCCATCATTGCGAGCAGCAAAGGGCGGGGAAACAGCTAGCGACGAGGAGACATCCAC